AGAATCAAGCAAATAAGAAGTTAAATTAAAAAGGAAAAAATTCCCAGTGTTTTAGACTGGTACTCAAGATTCTGAAGAAATAGTGAATATTGAATATACCCTTTGATTGGTAATATTAATGGCTAATTCCAAGAGGGCTTTGAAACAGGTAGTGAAAGAGTGGTTAGGAGATGAAGAAAGATGTTGTAAGAAATTCCGTCTCCTTTACTTCCCCAGAAAAGAGTATGGATGAAAAATACAGCCTTTTGGAATATTAATTGTTATATTTACACACACAATCTCCCACTCTTCTCTCTTTGACTCCATGGCCCCTCTGATCCCCACCTCCTGGAATTCACACTCTTGTGCTCTCTCTTTCCCTTGAGTGTGGGTGGGACCTGTGATTCACTCCTAACCAGCAGAATATGGGATGCCACTCTGTGCTTAGATTACATAAGATCGCCAACAACCAAGTGAGCTTGAAAGGGATCCTTCCCCAGTCGAGTCTTCGAAAGAAACCCCAGCCCTGCCTGGCCAACACCTGGATTGCAGGATTGCGGCCTGAAGACAGCCTGGAGCAGAGGGCTCACGTGAGCCACGCCTGGACTCCCGGGCCACAGAAATTGTGAGATACTAAATGTGTCTTGTTTATAGCTTAAGTTTGTGTTGATTTGCTACATAGAAAGAGATAACAAATCCACCTATTTACACAGGGATTCACCCAGAGAGACTCACGAAAGTAGCCATGAAATGAAGTGGTCCCAGTCTTCTTAATGCCAACTCTGCATTTCCACTAGCTTTTTCCCTGTCTGAAAATGTCAGTTCCAGAAACAGAACAAGATGACAAGACATATCATTGTTGTCTCAAGGGTGCACTTGGTGCAAATCAACAAGAAACTTGACAAAAAGGATCTCACAGAGATAGAGGCTCATTGATTTCATGCAACCAAAACTCTAAGGATAGGCAGCCAGGGCTCCTATGGTGACTTAGATGACAGCTTTAGGGCCCAGGCTCCTTTTGTCTTCTTGCTTCTTTGACTTGAGCGGGGAGGCCCTTGTCCTCTTGCTCCTTATCTCACCGGGGCCGCATACGGTGTCACTTCTGTACTCCAGGCGGGAGGCCCTCTCTGATGCCTCCAGCAGACTTCTACTCTTGTCACCTCAGAACTGTCACGTGCCTCCCTGTGAGTCTGGAAAAGTGAGGGATTTTAGTTGCACACTTTGCCGGCTTAAGAAATGAAAGAAGGAGGAGTGGATATCAGGTAGACATCTAGCAAAGTCTGCCACTCAGAGCTTTATCCCACAGAAGGAACCATGGAAAGACAGGAGAAACTAAGGGAGGAAATAACAAAAAGAGTGGAAATTAATGGCATAGAGAGCAAGCTATAATGAGGGACATCAAAGCTGAACTGAAAGGTGCATTTTTGAAATGACTAATAAAATAGATCTTTTCTAGCAAGACTGACAATATAATGAGTCAAAACAATGAGCTTCACAATCATGCATACCTACAATATATTCCAAATTATGTTAAAAGAATAAAGACAGAGAAACTAAAAGATAACAGATATGAATATCTGTTACCTCTGGTGGGGAGGCCACCTTCTTTTTTGTATACTCAGGTATTTTCTACAGTTTTTCATTAGTGATCATACATGGCTCTTATAAGGAGAAAAAAATATTGTTTGAAAGTTGCACGTAAAATGAGTGTTCTTTTAAAAAATCATTTTTATTATCAGCTCCCAAATAAAAAACAACCTAGAGGGCTAAATTCAAACCATTACATTTTCTAATTTGGGAATACAGTGATGTTGGCAGTGTCACAGAATCATAGGAGTGTAAGACCAGTCTCCGCCCTGTAAGGGCTGCCTTTTCAGTCGAATACTCTGCTTTTCCTCTGAGAAAACAGTGCAGAGAAGGAGTAACATTTGTTTCCAAGGCCTGCTGGGCCGTCCTGTTAAGTGTACAGAAAAGGAGAGCCTGCGGCTTAATTTGTTTTAAAGTTCTACCTTTTCCTTAATTTTTTTTTTTCTCTGAGAATTTTGGGGCTGGAGGACCTGTGGGGAGAATGCAAAAATCGAAACGTAGCAGATTATTTCCTTTCTGGTGGGCTGCCGTCTGATTCTTTCGTGCATCCCCCACACGGCATTGTGAAAAGAAGCTTGGACTTACAAGGCATGGCACGGCATTGCCATAGACAGTTGCTTGGTAGTAATAAGCACCAAGTTTGATGTGACAGGCCTGAATTTCTGGTGGCATCCACTAGCTGAGTGACCCTAGGTATTTCTGAAATGTACAATGAGAAGTTCATCAGGTCCAATTGATATTACAGGAGAAAATACATGTGAAGTGGCTTAGCACAGTGCCAAGGCATCAGACACTCAAAAAGTGTTAATAAACGTAATTATTCTTTAGAGAGATTCGTATCATTGAAAACAGAGAAGACCGTGTAAAGGGGCACCTGGGCAGAAGCTAGGCCCAGAGGTAGCTCAGAGTTGTGGGACCTGCTATTACTACCAGTGATGACCCCGCAGGGGTAGGCTGGAGTCTGAGGAAGAGGAGAATGCAGCCCTGCCACCAGCTCAAAGCCTTCTTTCCTCAGGACATTTGCTGGAAAACTGTTGTAATAAATACATAAATCTGTGATGATTACGGAAGTGAATGAGGATCCTTAGCATTGCGTAATGCCCAACCTGCAAAACCGTACACAGTATCCCCGAGCTATACGTGGAAGATGGCCCCACTCTTGTTTCAGTATCTTCATAAGTCGCTGTCATCTTGTATTTTATATTTCCTGGTGGGTCCCTTTAAAATCCTTCTAGGTCAAGGAAGGGTACACATGTACACTCATTACATTGACATGAAGAAGTTTGAAATCAGGCCACATCAAAAGGCAAAGAATCGGAATGAAGGAAAGACTAATTGGTCAGTCCCCCGTCTTCCCTCCCACCTCTGGTCCATTCCCTCTTCCCGTGACAGCACAAACAAGTGTCTATATGTCAGGAGATACTGCATCAGATAAGACTGGTCCCCAGTGGGGGCTGAATGCCTTGGAACTATCCAACAGGAGTAAATTAGCCCCTTCTGCACACCGTTGGTTAGTGAACATATGAAACTCATTACCCTTAGACGTTGGTTTGGATTGCAACCATATCCGTGTTTAAGAAAGGTTGATTTCAGGCTTGCTGGGGAATCGGGCAGTTGGGCATGGAGAGCTTAAGCCTCAACCGAGAGTCAAGTGAAGAAGATGACACCGCCGCGTTTAGCCAAGTGTCTTCTTCCCTTATTAATCTCCCCTTGCTTTCTCGTGATCCACCTGCCAGCCCTCCCCTGCTTTGGCTGTGTCGAGCCTCCATCCAGGGCTTCTCCCTGCCCCTCCTTCTCCCTGCAGCACCACGGGACAGAAATAGGAGCCTGCTTGGTGGCTGTATTGTAAGTATGACTGTGAGAGTGGAGCAAGCCTTGGCAACAAATGGAGCAGGCTCAGGCGTGTGACAATAGGAAGAATTCCCTTAGTTGGGAGCCTCGTGGCGCGTGGCGAGGGTGATGGAGGTGTTGGGAGCAGCTGAGACAAGAGATTGGTGTTGGAAATTCCTGCAGGAGATAACTCGCTGGGGCCCTATTAGGAGCGAATCCCTAGCCCCAGGGAAGCTGCGACTAGGAAATATGGAACTTCCAGGTTGGACATCAGCATAGGGGTATCAAGACAAAGGTCCCAAAGTCCCAGGAGGGGCACTGTCTTGGGAGCACGGATCCAGCTCTGCAGCAACGGGGCAGGTTATACAATGGGACTTGGGCAGGAAGGGGAAATCTCAGGGTTTGCTCATTGGAGCTGGGCCAAAAAATAAGGGCTTAGTTCCAGAAACAAGGCAAAGCCAAGGTACTTAAAGGTAGCAGGTGACGGTAGGACTGGATAATTTGCTCAATAGGATTTGGACTATTTTTCCTTGGTAACCTCCTAACAGGTCCCTGAGACTGAGATAGGCTGAGCCTGCAGATGATGCTCCTGTGGTCCCCATGTGGCGATGGCAACAGGCGATGAGCGGAGCCTGCAGGGAGCTTCGTCCAGTACCCCTCTGGTCCTGAGGCTTTTCCCTCCGCTTCTCTGCCTCCACTGGATCCACAGCAGGGAGGTCCTGACTCCTTGCTCCTCCGTTGGACTGAAGGTCCTGGACTCTAACAACAGTTAATTTCCTGCTAGAGCTCAAGAGAAACAGGCCAAGTCCCTTGCTTTGGCAGTTTAGATAAATCCAAATGCTCTGTGATGAGCAATTCAAGAGAGGCCAGGCGTTTTCTAGAAGCATTGGCCTTCCATATTTCTATCAGTGTTACCAGGATTCTCTTAGGACTGTCTCACCCTGTTGGTCCCAATTCTCATATCCAATCAGTGGTTGAGGAGACTAATTACCCCAACTCCTTTCTCATGTCCTCTGCCTCTTCACCTACTGCCTATAGGATTGAACTCCAGTCTCTATGCCATGCCTACGTTCTTCAGATTCGTGGTGTGTTTCTACATCCTATGTCCTATTTATATGTACTCTGTCCATCTTGAAACCTTGGGTTTTAACTTCTCTTACCTCCTTTAAAATTTACCACTTTGTTCTTTCAGTCATTTATTCAGTAATAATTTATTGAGAGCCCGTTTCCCACAGCCTGAGGGCCTTGTGTAATCACTCCTACCACAGACTCTGGGATCATAATATAGACAGCAAATTAAAGTTCTCCACTCGCATCTGCTTACTTCCCAGGTAAGAACTTTATTCCTCCAACAAATACTTTTCTTCTTGTCTGAAAACATCTATTTACGAATTTACAAATGCCTTCAATCTTTTAAGCCTCTGCACCTTGTAAAATTAATACGGTTTTAAAGACCCTATCTTTTCAGCAAATCCTTGGTTTGAGTGTGGATAAAACCGTTAGCACAGAATCAACCGGAAAGAAAAAATTCTTGATCTCGCACTAAAGCCTTTCCATTCTGCAAGGTGAAATCCTTTGACCTAGATCTGTCCCTTAAAAGGCAAGGGGCTGTAAGGAATTCTCCCGCTTTTCTAAAATTTTAAGAAATTTGGTAAATATTGATAGAAAAAGTCGGGTTCATTAGCCACATTTATTTGATTTTCCTGAAAATCTGCCAGACAGAAAGTTCTCACTTTTATCCACCTTCATTGTTACCTTCAGAACAGCTCTCTCCATAGCAACTGAAAACTTCTCTGGGCCGAAATAATCCTCTCCAGCTTTCAGCACACAGTCAAGGAATTTTAAAATCAGAGGACTTTGTAACCACGAAATTCTCTCCGAGATTTAAAAGGCCGCAGAGCTCCAGATAAATAATCATTTATCTTTCTTCTGAAGGTAAGCACTGGGTTTAGAAATGTTTGTATCATCCTCTGTCATGTTTTAAATGCTAACATAAGAATCTTAAACTCTTTTTTTATTTAACTGTAAAAGTAATCCCAGTATCTTTGTTACTACCCCACAGTCATTATGTGTTCATCTCTGGGCCAAGATGTGACAAGAGATGCTGTTAACATTTTACATTCCTTAAGCAATTGGTTGAAGAGATTAATTTTTTTCCAGAAAGCTGATTTGCTCTATAGTCAACCCTCACCCCTTTAATGGCCACTGAGTGAGTGGACTTATCATGCTTGTGCAGTCTCGAGACTGTGTTGTTCTTCTAAGATGGTTCATACTTCTAATAAACTAGAAAGCAAAAACTGACCAGCGTTTCCTGGACGTTACTATTTTCTTCTAGCATTCTTCCTCGTCTAAAACCTTCTAACTCCACATGATATTGGTAATTTATTAACATTGATTTTCTCCTCACTTTTATTTACTTACTTCAGTGAGGAGGACCACAAATCACCGGGAGCTCTACTTTATGATGGGATAAAATGACGGCGTTTCCTCATGGCCTGGGTCCTATGACTTGTTCCACCTGCAGGGAAAACAGAGCAACTTGTTCTTCCTGATTTTTGACTCAGTGTTTAATTCAGAAAGAGGCCGTGTACCACACTTCTTGGCCGTTCTACACTTTGAAAGTCTGCAACCATGATAGTTTCCTGCCGTTTGGGGTTATAAAAGACCTACAGACCCCCTGTTGTTCAGAAACAGCTTGTCATTGTAAATCAGCTTAGCCACCCAATTAATGAATCCTTTCAAACTTGTTGCAGGCACAATAATTAAAGCCTTTATTTTTCCCCTTTACCACAGGCATTCCTCCGGTTACGAGTTTACACCGTGAACACCTGCCCACCCATCTCCGTCAAAGACAGACTCGAGGTAAAGGAGGAGTGGAAATGTGCTTCTGGACCAAGCTTTCAGGATTCTGGCTGCCATTGTTCCTTCTCCTCAGCCTTGTTCCCTCTACTGAGACAGAAAAACCCTCAGCCCAGGACAGCAGCAGCACCTGGAGTCCTGGCCGACTGACAGAAGTACTACGAATTCCCTCTGCGGGTGACCCCCCACCCCTGAACCACTCAAGAAGCCTCATCAGAACGTTCTTGGAGAAAACTGGGTGCCCCCGGAGAACCAACGGAATGCAAGGAGATTGCAATCTGGTTAGTGCATAGAATGGGGTCGGGTACTAGGGCGCGTTGGGAAGAGAGCAATGGATTCTGTAGCCATCGGCTTCCAGAAAGCAAATTCAAACACAGATCTTCCAATAGCCAAGTGGGCAGCGCACTGTGGCGTAAAAACTCCCATATTTGGGATACAAGCTATTCGGCATTTTGCATATAGATTTTAGAGACAGGGAGAATTTTTTTACTAAAATGGTAATGTTGATGGAAGCCTTTCTACAACCCTTCTGCAGGTTTAGAGGTATTTATTTGTGAGTGTGAACTGTTCTCTCTTCTTTCTGATCTACTAATCCTTCCAATGAACTTGCAGTAAACTTGCACATCATTGGTTAAATAGATGCTATTTGTTTTCTGTAGCATAATAATAGTGATCTGATATTTGTCTAATGTTGAATGTTTAAGTACTTTCTCCTGGATGTTGATTGGTGTTTTCTAATATTTTGCATGGTGGGTAGTTAACGAACAAATTGGATAATCATCTTCTTGAAAATGAGGAATCTGATCTGGGGAAGGGAAATGCGACAGATGGAGCTACAGTGAGACCCATGGCTCCTGAGGCCCAGTTCCCAGCCTCTTGCTAGTCTATGAAGTGACTCTCAAACTCGGGCTGCATCTCAGCATCATTTGGGTGGGTTTCACAAAATGCCCACTTTGGGGCTTCCTCCTCCAGAGACTGAAATTTAACTTGCCTGAGATGGGATTTTTAAAAATCTCTGCAGACCACTTTAGCTTAAAATTAGCGTTTAATGGAAAATCAGAAGATCTCTGTCAGAGTGAGTGGGTGATTGACAGGAGCAGCGCAAAAGGCAAGACTTAAAATGACTGCAAACAAATCCTTCTTCGCTGTCTGTTTCCTGACCAATGCGATTTTTCAGAATGAACTCACATAAATAAATAAATGAAGACAGAAATAAATAAATCAGAGAAACGAAATAACTTCCCCCAAAAATAAATTTTGGAAGACCTTCTGGATCCTGCTTAGTTCTAGGGGAAACATTTCCTGGCCAAGGGTTTTGGTTTTTTTTCATGACAGAAGGGTCTTGCTAACAGAAAGGATTTTTCTCTGCTCTGTGCAAACAATAAATAATTCAATAATAGTAAAATTCCCAAGGGTTCTCGGAGAAAACATGTGTTATAATAGGCAACTCATCTGTGATGACATTAATTTATATATATAGCAACAGAAGACTTCCCACTGGAAATAACTAGGAGTCCTATCTTATTAGCGTCCTCTGAGAATTTGCTTCAGGGAAATGTTCTCCTCTAATGACATGGAGTGCCTTATTAAGGCTGGTTGAATATTAGTTTAGCTAGGGGGAATGTAAACATGAAAAACTGTTCTCTGTTTTTTTGTGGGGGAGGGCTTGTTTTGCACTTTTTGTTTTCTGTAATGTTATCAAGAGTTTGCCCAATTTAGCTTCTGTTTGAATTCGTTCCTTTCCTAGGAAGGGAAACACTGTCTTTAACAGCTTTGCTCTCCTGCTGCAGCCATTTCTCTTTCTCTGTGAAAAAGACTGAGGTAGAAAAAAGGCAAATCTCAGCTTCACCTGCTCAGAGGGTTACAATTCACCTGACTCATCCGCAAGTGAGAAGCCAATGACATCTCTTCGTGTCATTCATAAAAAGCCAGGGAGAAACAGTGCCCTATTGATTTCGCAAACCACAGGGCTTCAGCTGGTTGTTGAATCTTTTTTGTCTTTTTAGGGACTTTGTCCACTGAGAGGCACAGTTCATATTTAAATTCTGTGGTAAAAAGAGGGCAAAGTGGGGAGTTCATATTCCCAAATGTCTCAAAAAAGAAGGAAGTGTGTATCCTGAATTTGTGGGGAGGACAAAGTTCCCAATTTTAGGTCTAGGTAAAAACTGATTTTTTAAAAAATCAATCTGAAGTATTTGAGAGCAGTATGCATTTAAAAGTAAATCCATTCAAGCTGCAGCCTTTGAAAATGGATAGATTGCCTGATCGTGGCTTTTTAATGAATTCAGTGAGAGATTAAGTAACTCTAAAAGAATAAATTCCACTTCAGTAATGGTGAAAATCACGACTCCACGTGGGTTCCAGGTGTGCTGAAGGGAAGAGAACCTAGTGTCTGGAGTTAGCCAGCAACGGGCCAGAATCCTTGTTCTAGCGCCTTCTATCTGTTAGGGCGTGCTGAGCCTCAGCTTCCTCAGACATAAGATGGAGGTGATGACTTCCTCCTTAGGGAGCAATCCCTGAGGCCCCATGACCATATGTGAGTAGACCTGGGCACTCAAGCTCTCTCTGCCCCCTTACATTCTCTGTACCTCGTGGAAATGTCCAATCCTTCGTTTTCCAGGGACACTGGAGCCAGTGCTGCTGAGAAACGAGACATTCCTCTCCCTCTACCCATCCCCCAAACCCCCTCAACTGTCCCGGGGCCTTGGGGTTTTTAACCAAAGTCTCCAGGCCATTCTCAGACACATTCAAGGAAGAGAACCACTGCTTTAGTTTTCTGCATTTAATTCACCCCCCAACTCCCCACCCTTGCCATTTGTCATAACTCTTATGGGATGAAGTATGAAAAGCATCAAGCTTTATCTTAACTTGTTTAGCTGACAAGTTTATCTTAACTCTTCTTAGTTAAAACTTTTCCTTTTTGTCCATCAGAAATGCCTGTACTAAATCTAGTACAGAGCCACAAAAAACTAGTGCCTGTCATCAGCCAACATCCTTCCAGATCTTTGTTTGGGAAGAAAAGGAAGAAATACAACTTCTCCCTTGTATTTTACGATCAATTGTTAACACTCCCTCCCACCAAAAAAAAAAAGACCTTATAAAAATCTAAGAACTTAAAAGAGAGCAATGGGTTCACCCATAAGCCCAAATCAAATTCTGAACATCTTTTGGTCTAAAACCCCTAAAGTTTATCTTGCAGATCTGACATCTGCCTTATTGATGTAGAAGAAAGGTTTCCTATGGCTGTTTGTCGCTGAGGCTCTCAGCTCAGTGACACCTGGCATGTGCATGTGACATGGCAGCAACACATGCCATGTCACCTGGGACACATAAGCAACAAGCAAAGCTGAATTAAGCAGCTGAGGGAGGCAACCTGATTTGGCTACAGGGTGCCAGGAAAATTACTCTCAAATATCTGGGTAGTCCATTTAGCTTAGTAAGGGGGCTTCTTGCATTTTAACCAGTCTTTTCTCAAAGTTCATTTCCTTATGAAGTCTTGAAAATTAATTTCTAGAATCCCTGATTTTTTTCCCTTAAACTTTATGCCTCCACCTGACAAGATTCAAAAGGAAATCAATGGATTATTCCTGAATGAGTCCATTCTTCTCAACAAAGAGTCACTTCACGGGAGTAAGAGCCTTAGAAAGATCTGAAAACCTATGAGGTGCCAGTATTTGCAGAATTGTGTTAAACATCCTTTCCCAAACACAACTGAGCCACTCCTGAAACCTTAACAACCAAAACAAATCTAGTGATGATGAACTGAAAATTCCAGCCCCCCCACCAACTCCCATAGTGCTTTTGGTCATGTCCATGCCTGGAGGAGAATTCAAATTTTCTTCTGTTAGCTCTGCTGAGGCTCCCCACAGCTTTCTTCCTTAAAGCCATCACCTTTTGTATTAAAGTAACTTGTCTAAGATTCAAATATCATAAAAGAACACATAGTTTTCAGCCCATTGTCTTTTTTTTCTGTTTTGAGGAAGATTGGCCCTGAGCTAACATCTGTGCCCATCTTCTTCTACTGTATATGTGGAATGCCACCACAGTGTGGCTTGATAAGCAGTGTGTGTGTCCACACCCAGGATCCGAACTGGTGAACCTTGGGCCAAGGAAGCAGAGCATGTGAACTTAACAGCTACACCACCAGGCCGGTCCATCAGCCCATTCTCATTTGATCCGTGGGTAAGCTTCATTTCAGCAGGCTTCAAAAAGTTAAAGCAAGGAATAGACAACATCTATTCACTCAAGATGACCAAAATCTCTAGTCAGACAAAATGAGATGCTTCCACAACTATTTAAAACTTTTCAAAGTCAGGACCAATCTGCCTTCCAAGTTGCATGCTTTTTACAAATCTATTCTGGAATGAACATCTGCGTGATGGCAGATCTTACCCTGTTCTCTGCTGCCCCGTGCCACACCACTCTTATTCCAACCCTAGAAAGAGAAGCATCAAAAGCACTGAGGAGGAACCATGAAGGACAGGGGTCTCAGGCACCTCAGACGGGTGAAGGGTGCCACAGTCTTGGCTGTGTGCTGTCAACCAAGCCCTGGCCATAAAATTGTGGTCTGGTGACCTTATGGAGGCCCTACTCCTTGTGTTCCTGACACGCTTCTTCCTATCTACTTGGCCTCATCAAACAACCTGAATGGCACTTGAAAATCTATCAACAGAAACTCATTCAACCCTCTGGCTGTACCGTGCTCTCACTGATTGATATAAAGCCTTACTAATCCCCTTGCCTCCTTATTGGTCAAATTTCTTCCTGGCAAACAGGAGGGAGGGAAAATTACTGAATGAGAGGCTGCATATCAAGTACATAGGTGAGTCCACAGGTTATCTTCTCCATGGCACAAAACAAAAGAATAAGAATAAAGTCTACCATTGGCCAAGCAGCAATTAAGACTGGACAACCTCTGTTAGCTGTGTGGCTTTAGGTACATTTCTCACCCTCTCTTAATCTTGGTTTTCGTATATACTATGAGTATACCTTCCTCATAGAAGGAAAACACAATTCCTACATAATTCTGCACAGTATCCTTGCACACTCTGTATAAATGAACCTATTAATTCATTATGCATTACATAATTTGGTAATTGGTATTCTAAATGCTTTATATCATGCAGACATATTTGGTAGATTATTATATAAGCTGGGGACATTTTGTTTTTCCATTTAAAATAATGCGATAAGGTTCCTACCATTGAAAGATTTTTTATCTGACACTTTTCCAGAACCAATTAGATTTGTACACTGAGGAATGCCTGAACACATCAAGTGCTTAACACTGTCTTGAACATATGGCTTCCAATACATGGTAGCTAATACTACCAAGAGTTTGGCTTCAGGAGGTTATTTAGTACAAAGAATGGCTTTATTACACTTTTGTTTCAACTGATCACCTCTTTGGGTCTTGGTGTCAGCCCTGTCAGCAGGTACCAACCCATGGACTTTTCCGATGGGCTAAGTAGGGAACAGAACCTGTGAACCTTCAGAGCATGGCTGCTTCGGCTTTGGCAGTAGAGTTTAATATCTGTATTAAGAGTTGGTCTTGGGGCCAGCACTATGGCCGAGTGGTTAAGTTCACCTGCTACGCTTCGGTGGCCTGGGGTTCACTGGTTAGGATCCTGGGTGCTGACCCACACTCTGCTCATCAAGCTGTGCTGTGGTGGCATCCCACATAGAAGATCTAGAATGACCTACAACGAGGATATACAACTATGTTCTGGGGCTTTGGGGAGAAAAGGGGGAAAGAAAAAGAGTTGGGCTTGTTGGGAAGCCTGTCCCTCTGTTTGCTGAGCTCTTGTCTCCTTGTAGTTGAGTCGGGTCGGGATTGGAGGCTGTGTGGCTTGTGATTAATGCTTTGCTTTACAGATGGATGACGTGTTTCTTCCTGACTCAGATGGTATACACCAGCTGTTCCCCAGAGACACACACAGCAGACATGGGATTAGAAACCCTAAAACTTCCATCTCAGAGAATAGATTAAAAGTTATTGTTGTAAATTATCCCACAGTGGGACAAATTCCTCTGGGGCTCAGGACAGGCATCCCTCAATGCCTTCACTCTGAGGCTGCTGCCGTGTAATGCGTTGCTTCTGGGACCCTAGGAGAATTCTCGGGAGCTCCCTACTGTCTCTGAAGAAAGGCAGCCCCCACCTAGCTGGGAGAACTTCCTTTCACCAACCCCTGTATCCCTCTCTTTTTCACTGTCCCACCACATTACCCCACACACCTTCATCTGCCATGTCAGCCTCCCAGATCAGATGAGTCAGGTGTCCATCTGTGGGTTGTGTAACAAATAAAGCCCCATGGAAACATTTTTAGCAATTCTCCTAGGTACGATAAAAGAGAGACCGATGGCATTCATTCATTCAATCTTCACGCCATGTGAGTGCCAGGCATGGTGCTAGATGCTGAGGATAGAACTGTGCACAGATGAAACCCAGCCTTAACGGACTGCTTGTTCTCAAGGGGAGAAAGAGAATAAACAAGTAGACAAAGTAATTTAAGAATACTAGTGCTGGGGGCTGGACCCATGGCAGAGTGGTTAAGTTCACGTGCTCCTCTTTGGCAGCCTGGCGTTTGCCAGTTTGGATCCTGGGCACAGAGCTACACACTGCTCATCAAGCCGTGCTGTGGTGGTGTCCCACATAAAAGAAGTAGAAAGACTTACAACTAGGACATACAACTCTGTACTGGGGATTTGGGGAGGAAAAAAACCCAGAAAGATTGGCAATAGGTGTTAGCTCAGGGCCAATCTTCCTTACCAAAAAGCATACTTAAAAAAAGAATACTAGTGCTATGAAGAAAATAAAAAGTGGTGTGCACTAGAGCTGGCACTAGCCACATATAGCTATTGGGCACTCGATATATGACTTTTCTGAATTGAGATATGCTGGTAAGTATAAACTACACACCAGATTTTGAAGACTGAGCACAACAAAATGTAAAATAGCTCGTTAGTAATTCTTAAAAATTATGATCACGTGTTGCAACTATTGTACCTTGCATATATAAATTTCAATAAGATTTATTATTAAAATTAATTTCATCTGTTTGTTTTAAAAATGTGGCTACTAGGAAATTTAAAATGACGTGTGTAGCTCATGTTTGTGGTTTGCGTTATATTTCTATTGAACGGTGCTCTGCTGGAGGACATGGGGCGGGGGTGAGGGCTTCCTACCTTGGACAGAGTGGTCAAGCAGGCGTCCCTGAGCAGGTGGCACTTTAAGCTGAGATCTGAGAAATGAGAGGAAGAAGAAGGCCTGAAAGATGGTGGGATAGAGCTTGGTGAAACTGTCAGAAAACCGCAGGGGCAGAAGTTTCGGGAGAGAGGTGGAGAGAGGCGAAGATAAGGTAGAACCAGACCATGGAGAAAATTGTAGGGCGCTTGGATTCCATTCAAAACACGATGGGGCATCTCTTTAAAAGCCAAAGTGTCAGCTGATTTTACTGAAGACAGCAGATGAGTAACTAGTCACACTATAGTTAGAAATAGAGGGCCCACTCTTAGGAACAATGGCCTCCTTGGGTAGGCACCATTGTTTAAATAAAAGTGCAGCCACGACCATCTTATTTGAATTTGGCTATTGGTCTTGCCCACTCTCCCCTCCTATTCATACAATAATAAGCAGTGGGGACCCTCGTTGAGAGTATTCTAGAACTATTTGCTAAGCTTTGTTTCTGATTTTTTAATTTTTCTTTTTGTTTTTGCACAGTGCTTTGAACCAGATGCCCTTTTACTAATAGCTGGAGGAGATTTCGAAGATCAGCTCAGGGAGGACGTGGTCCAGAGAGTTTCTCTTCTTCTCCTCTACTACATTATTCATCAGGAAGAGATCTGTTCTTCAAAGCTCAACATGAGTAATAAAGAGTACACATTTTACCTGCACAGCCTGCTCAGCCTCAGGCAGGATGAAGACTCCTACTTCCTTTCACAGAACGAGACAGAGGATATCCTGGCCTTCACCAGGCAGTACTTTGACACTTCTAGAAGCAAGGTAAAAGGGACAAAATTGCTAACCGGCTCTGTTACTAAGATCCAGTCTCAGAGCCTTATTTTTTGTCACTTATTTATTCCCAAGACATTCAGGACTTCAAACAGAGGTAAATACTTGTGGTTTTTAGTTATAGGATGTTGAGTGACGTAATTTAAAATTCTGAGTCTAAAAGAGGGAATGTAATGACTCATTATTGTAAGAGGAGTTTTAGCCAGAAGTTGGGTGGGTGAATGGGCGGGCAAGCCAGGTGACAGGGCAGCTCTCTTCTCCTGAGTCCCCTCCCCCTGAGCATGAAAGGAAGTGTGACTCAAAGCTTTCCATCTGTCTCCAAGGACCGACCCCCGGTGGTGAGGGCTGTGTGCCTTGCCTCCTGGGGGGGGGGGGGGGGGGGGGGGGGAGGGGAAGGAGAATGCAGAACCAGTTTGAGAAAGATGAATTTATCATTATTTCACTGAAGAAGAGGCTTGCAGAATGCATTATTCATGACAGTCAGCACAAGACAATCTCTCTTTTGAAGTTTTTAATTTGTGTTGCATATGTCTGGGTGTCCTTTGAAATGGTTTTCTTCTCCCACAGCTCCCACTGCTAGGAAACAGGCACCTGGTCTCCTGTCGCCTTCCTTACTCTTCCAGCAAAAGCTGGCCTTTCAATTACCTTTTTGCTTTCTGCTTTGCAGTGGGAAGTTTGAGCGGACAAACTCTGAACATAAGAAAGATTTTTAAGCGATATTTTCTTAAAGATTTCGTTGAGAAGCCCCCAGCACATTTTGAAGAGTGTAGTGAAATGTGTTTTTTTCTCTTGAATTATTCATCGACAGGCGTCTTAGTCTTACTGGGCTGGTTCAACAAAGATGCCATAACCTCGATGGCTTATAAACAACAGAAGTTTCTTTTTCACAGTTCTGGAGGCTGGGAGGCTGGCAGATTTGGTGTCTGGTGAGGGCCTGCTTCCTGGTTCATAAATGGCTGTCTTCTTGCTGTGTCCTCACATGGTGGAAGGGACAAGGGAGCTCTTTGGTGTCCCTTTTATAAAGGCACCAGTGCCATTCATGAGGCTCCACCCTCATGACCTAGTCACCTCCTGAGGGCCCACCTCCACATGCCATCACTTTAGGGATTAGGATGTCAACATAGGAATTTTGGGGCCACACAAACATTCAGTCTATAGTGACATGTATAGATGAATTTGATTCTTGGCCCCACTTCTGGCTTCTAGGAGCCCAAAGGTATCTACATAGTCATGCTGTGGCATAATGACCAGCAAACATATCCTCCAATTTGTAGTAAATGTGTTTAATTTCTTTTATTATTGGCAGAACAAATGGAAAAACTGTCTACTAAGGACTTTGCGGGCATCACTTCAGTAACTAATCTCGTGAATCTCAAAATTTGGCCATATTTTTGTTTCTATCTCCAATTGAGTAAATAGGGTTCCTTTATAGAATTTTGTTTTCTGCTTAAATAAGGAAGAGTGCCTACATAGAATTTCTTCAGTGCAATATCTCTATAACACAAGATTGGTTCAAATTAGTCACTAGGATTTTAGTCATATTATCTGTTACTGCCTTTTGATGCAGACTAAATGGAAATGGAAATGGAAATCCAGCACTTAAAAGCAGATGATGTGTGTGTATATTCAATGCAGATTTCCGGTTATCCAACACAACCTGCAAATACCTGTGCTTCCAAGTGTATGTGAGATTCAACATTCCTGGAGCAGAATAAAATCATTCAATATTATGTATAGACCTGCATTATCCATCTATTCAGTCAAGAAGGATTGGGCTCCTGTTCAGTCAGAACCCTTCGCTAGGTCTTAGACCGGTTATCTCCTGGAGGATACCACTGTCTCTAGCTCCTAGGAAGAGTCTTTTGGCCCATTCACCTGGGCTAGAATTCCAACCACTGTTTCTGTTCCTGAAGTCTTTGAGATGTGGTCGAGAATGCCTGTCCTCCATTTAGGAGGCAGGGCCACTGGAGAACTATGTACAGATCCCTGTTCATTTACCATGAAAACAGCAAACAGTGGAAAGAATGGAGAGGTGGGAGCAATGAGAGACTGAGTCAGGAAGATAGAGTAATTTGGACAAAAGAGAATGAAGGAATTTAGGGATGTTTATATTCTGGGCTATTAGGAAGGATGGCTAGATGCTCCGTATGTCAGTAAATGGCATCATCCGCCAGTCAACTGTGCAACTAGAAATTTAGTTTTCTGAATTTCTTATCCCTTCATGTCTAATCCATCTTCAAGTCCCACTGCTGGTATCTCCTGAAGATCTCCCTAATCTGCTGACTCTTCTCCATTATCATCATCACCATCTTCTACCTGAACTACTGCAATAGACTTCTAACTGTACTACGAGAACTTGAGTCTCCTTCCAGTCCATTTGTTCTCCACCGCGTAGCCAGAGTGAATTTCTCAAAATGCAAATCCAGTTGTATAACCCTCATTCCCATCCTTTGCTCAAAATTTCCTTCTGGCCTTCTGCTGATTTTAGGATAAAGAACAAACTCCATTACATGCCAACAGACCTTCAACTTTCACCATGCTCTCTCTCACTCCACCCACTCAGATGATTACCCTCCTTCTGACCCTTCATATTTGCCATCTTCCCTCCTTCCACAGAAGCTTGGCAAATGCTATTCCTTCCACCTGGAATATTTCTTCCTGCCACTCCTTCAGATCTGTGTGTGTGTCACAATCTCAGAGAAGCCTTCCTTGATCTGCCTGTCTGGGTGGAAAAGTGTCTATTTTCACCTTCAGTGGATCATGTACGTCTCCTTCAAAGCCATTGCACAGTTGTCATCTTACATTTGATTACATTAGTGTTTTATTAACAATACTAAACTTTAAGCTCTGGGGTAGGGAATGCTTTTTCTTTGGCTCACCAGTGCATCCTCAGCACCTAGGAAAGTACCAGACATATATTGGCTATTTGGGAAAAATTGGGGTCATAGTAGATGACATGACCATTACACAGTTGTCAAACCCAGAAACCTGAGTTGTTTTTGACTCTCTGTACTCCTTCATATTTCCCTCCAAGTCGTTTAGTCTACCTTCTTAAATTTTCTCAGGTGCATCCACTTTTTTCCACCTCTAGTGCTACCATCTTAGGTCAAGAAATATCTTGGGTTCATCAATAACTTCTTAGCTAGACTTCCTGCCCTTAAATCTTCCCCTGTCAATCCATTCACTACTTTGCCACCAGAGTGATATTTTTCTAATATATTTATTGTATTAGTCTCTTGTTTATATCATTCAGTGGCTCCTCTGGAGCCTTCAGGGGAAAAGTTTTCATAGCACTAAATATAAGGCCTTCCTTGATCTGAATCTTGTCACCTTCTCCAGCCTGTTATCTATCAGATGCACTGTTCCTGGGGACAACAATAATAGTAGCAAAGATTAGCTGACTGTGTCCTGTGTGCCACGTCTATATTAATTGTTTTACACCCATTGTCTCATCTACTCTTAGTAATCTCTCTGGTAGGCAGCACAATAGGTGTTAAAAGGTGTCCGTTTTTACAGATGATGAATATGAAGGTTGATCATTTTGCCAGAGGTTACCTGATTAGAAATAGCAGAGACAGTATTAAAGCCTTAACTGTCTGTCTGTCCCAAGCACTGTGCTATGGAACTGCTTTGATGATATGAATGTCCTATCACCATCCTGTGTTTCAATTTACTTCCATATACATGAGAAAGTACTTAAGACAATAGGCTATGGAGTCATACCTGAGCGCAAATTGGGACTCTGCCCTTTATTGGCCAGGTAATCTGTGAAAATAGAATCCAGTGCTCAGAGCTTTGGGAGGATGAAAAGGGAACATATGGGTATTGGACTGAGTAGCATAGTGTCTGGCACATAGTAGGCACTCTAAATGTTTAATAAATGAATGGGAATACTAGTGGGATATAAGGCAAGAGTCTTGGCCTTTCAAATGCTCATAATTTAATCAACAAAAATTGACACATATGTCCCATGTCCTATGTCCTATGGGAGTTCAAAGAACACAGACACTATCCCAGCTCTGATTTGCAATTAGCACCCATTGAGCTTGAGACCAAAGGCAGGTGTGAAAGGGGAGGTGCTCTGTGATGATACAAGGCAGCAGAGCCAGTGTGAAGTCAAGGTCAAGAATATAGATTTGAAAGTCACCAGCCTACAGGCTGTATTTAACACTGGAGAGAAAGAGTTCACCAATTAAAAGGATGTAAGCAGTAAGAGGAAGAGATCTCCTTGGAGAAAACACATCTCCGAAGGTGTAATGAGAAAGCTTAGATAAATGAGGACCAAAGAGATGGGAGTTCGAAAATTCAGTGTCACAGCAGATAAAGAAACAAATATTTTTCAAATGGAGTTGTATCTGAGACTCGAGAATGATGGTAGCCATCTTCCTACAAACAATTCCATCCTCTTTTAGATGAAGAACTATTCTTTGTCTTCTGGGGAAATCCTAGAGATGTTTTAATCAAAATAACTACAGAAGTTAACATTTTTACTTTGTATCTGATTTCAGTGTATGGAAACCAAAATGCTGCAGAAAAAATCTGGAATACTAAACAGTCATGGTGCTGATGAAAAGACACTTCCTCAGTTGGCAGCAACAATCATTGCTTTGTCCCTCCAAGGTGTTTGTCTGGGACAAAGAAACTTGCCTTCCCCAGACTATTTCATGGAATACATTTTCAGTTCCTTGAATAGTACAAATACTCTCCACCTATCGGGTAAGGATGATTTTCATGAATTTAACTTCCAAGTCACTCCTAACGAATACACTGTGCCAAAAAAAGGCTGAAGCTTTTTGATGACTGAATTTGTTCAGGTATGTTTTAAAGATCTTTTTATCTTAGCACTTAGTAAGACAGTTCAGGTGGTCTTTTCAAGACAAGCGTGCTCTGATATCTATGTGGTGATGTGGCGAAAATATGCACTCAGCCCACTTTAGCAGGGATGATGAAATTGTGGATGAAGAGCCAACGGGAAAGATTGTTATGATCCTCAACGAGTACTAACTGAACACTTTCCTATTTGGTATATGGTGCTGAGTCAGGATGGCAAAGTATTGTGTAGAATGATGAAATAGTATTCCAAATGGTGCAAGAGGCTTGGTAGCAGTTTGCTTGTAACCATAGACGTAAGTCATTTAATTTTAAATAAAAGTAATGTGAAATATCCATCTGGACTCCATTTGTGACTGCCAAATTTTTGGGGCTCCAAGATGAAATTAGGATGCCAGGAATGGAATCAGAATATTTGTTTTGCACATTTCTTTGTACTTGACAAGACATTAAAAGTGAAATGACCTATTTTTTTAATCTGCGTCAAAATGCCTGTTTTGCACACTAAGGAGTCCCAGTGTGTCACATAATAGCTGGTGCTGCTGCCAACACACTTCCTCTTGAGAAGTCACAGCATAAAGGAAGACATGAATTTTCCAAGGGACCGGCAAGACCCTGGTGCCCTGCATAAATCTCTCAACTCTCAAAGAAGGGATGTAGAGCTAGGAGTCATTCACTTCAGTGCTCAACTTTCTCTTACTTGTTTGCACAAAGAATTGAAAGAGGGCGGTGTTTTTCTACAATTGATTTGTGTCTTCTGTTAAGACGAAAGTTGAAATGCAATTATTTTGTGTTACCTAGCTGTTATAACGAAAAAATAAACCAGGGAAAGGCATGTAATGCTGAGAATAATTTTGATGTGAGAAACGGGAGTTGGGAAATTGAGATTTTGAGTGATGGAGTTTTAGCAGGATGGTTTCCATTTCAACTGAAAGAGCACAGTGATTCCACTTTCCACATAATGTAAAAGTATATGCCACTTGAAGGCTCCATCACTCTAAGACACAGGAAGAGACATCAGACTGGAATACCGAAAACAGTCAGAGGCAGGCTGTGCTGTAAGACTGAGGGAAGTTGTCTAGATATTGATCATTGTGGACCATGGTTAAAACCCAAATCATTGATCGTGAGAGATGCTCAGTATCATGCATTTGGGCAAAAATCAACCACTTTTGCATTTGAGAATTCAGAATCCCATTTCAGAGTGCCATTTTATGTCAGTGCGAATGGATGCTTATTCCAGAAGCCATGAGGCATTCTCTCTAAGAGCTGCCTCTGAGCTGGAACTCTACTGCTACTTGATTGTATGTTGGAATAGGAGGAAAAAAAGTATGCTAGTTTTAAGTGTTTTTAAAAAATGTTTTTATTATAGAGATTCTCAAACATAAACAAATGTAGAAACAATAATATAATGAAGCCCCATGCATACCGTATCTAGCCTCGACAATTATCAGTAATTGGATAATCTTGTATATATTTGCCCCCACCCTCTTCCATCCCTTGATTATTTTGAAATGAAGACTCAATCTCTAAATATTTCTGTATGAATCCCTAAAAGAGAAGGATTTTTTTTAAAAAATAAGGAGTTAAATTGGTTGATGTTGTTTTTTGGGGGTTTTTTGCTGGGAAAGATTTGCCCTTAACTAACATCTGTTGCCAATCTTCCTCTTTTTTTTCCCCCCTCCCCAAAGCCCCAGTACATAGTTGTATGTTCTAGTTGTAAGTCCTTCTAGTTCTTCTGTGTGAGCCACCACCACAGCATGGCTACTGACAGATGAGTGATGTGGTTCCACTCCTGGGAACCAAACCCAAGCCGCTGAAGTGGAGTGCACCAAACTTTAACCACTAGCCCATCAGGGCTAGCTCAAGAAGGATTTTTTTAAAAGCAGCTTATTTCTAATATCATAACTAAAAAAATTCATAATGATTCCTTAATATAAAAATTCCATTATTGATTGCATTCTCTTGATTTTTAAAAAATATTTTTATTTTTTTATTGAATCAAAACCTAAATAAAGGTCCATAAAATGCAAATTGTTGGGATGTCCTTTCGGTTTCTTTTAAGGTGTCATGCCTTCCCCCTACTCCACCTTCTCTATTTTGTTGCAAATTTTTTGTTGGAAAAAGAATGGGGATTGTTTACCTTATCTGGATTTCGCTGACTGCGTTCCTAGTCATTTAACATGCATTTTGGTGTACTGTATTTCACGTATATTGGTTGTTATAAGTAGAGGCTTGATTAGGTTTAAGTGGTTTATTTATTTGGGGGTAATGTCTTATGGTTGGTACCTTCCCTCAGTAGGCACTTAACATCTGGATGTCTCTCTCTTTTTGAGAAGTATAAGGTATTGATGATCATTGCCTAGACTGATTAATTATTTAGAGCTTACAAAATGCTGATCTTCTAATTTTCTCATTTCTTCGTGTAATAATTCTGTAATGGAAAAGCTTCTCCTTATCATGATTTCATTTTATTGAGGTTCTTAAAGTTAGGATCTTGATTATTTAATTTAACCATTTTTCAAAATGATAACGTAGTTTCCTTCTGTCATTCAAAGGAGAATAATAAGCTTTTCTTTTTATATCTTTAGGATTTCATACCTCTCAATCCATTGTTGTTACTATCCTGATTGGTGCTCAGATTGTCCCCTCTTTGACTAGTGGAATCTTATTCATCTTAGCTCTGAAGTCTTTTTGATAAAATCCATAAAACATTTTATATCTTCCTTGCTCTCCAGTGTAAGATCTTCCAGGTTTATCTTGTACATTTTCTGCCTGTCATTTCTCCAAATATTTTTATATTTATATAAAATTCATCAAACTTTCCTCTTACTGCTTTTGGATTTTGAGTTATAGTTAAGAAAGTTTCCCACATTCCCAGGTTATAGAGGAATTCAGTTATGTTTTCTTCTAGTACTTGTATATTTTTATTTCTGATCCATTTAGGATTAATTCTGGTGTATTGTGAGGATTGGATCCAGTTTATTTTTTCTACATGACTATTCAGTTTTCTTTATACTCTTATTTAAAATGCAGTGAAAATTATTTTTTCTGCTGATTTGAGATGTCACTTTTATATAATATAATGATAAATGCAATCAGGTTTATTTCTGTATTCTATTCTATTTGCCCTACTTGTCTATTCATGTGCCAGTACCATATTGTTTTATTTATAGTGGCTTTATAGTATATTTTAAAGTCTGGTGGAGCTAGCCTTCTTCATTGCTCTTCTTTTCAGGATTTTCCTGGCTTATTTCTGCTTCCTAACAAACATCATCAAACTCTCAAGCTCTGGGAAAAAGCCTTGTGATAATTTTATTGTGAATGCAAAAAGAACTATAAAATAAATTGGGGAAAATGACATTTATAATATGTTGCATCTTTATATCCAAGAACATAGCATGTATTTCCATTTGTTCATGTTTACATATATGTTTCTGTGGAGTGTTTTATTATTTTCGCCACATAGGTTTTAGGCATTTCCTGCTACATTTATACCCAAGTATTTAACTTTTTTGGGGGCTATCTTAAATGGGGTTCCCTCTTTCATTACATCTCCTAACTAGTTTTTGTTTGTGTATATAAAAGTTATTGATTTTTGTAGATCAGTTTTATAACCTGCCCCATGATTAAATCTTTTATTTAATTTTTGTGTTAATTTTTCAAGGTTTTCAGACATATAATCACATCATCTCCTATAAATAAATATATTTTTGCCTCTTACTTTCTAGTTATTGTGTCTTTATTTGCTTTCTTATCTAGTTACATGGGATAATAATTTCAATATAATGGTAAATAGTACTGGAGATGATCTGTATCCATTCATGTTTCCGACTTTGAAAGAAATGCCTGTGGTATTTTCTCATTGAGTTTAGAGAGTAAATGAGAAAAATAAATTTAGAGTTTTTATATTAACCCACATATTTACATTTCCAGTGCTCTTCATTTCTTCCTGTGGACACAATTTACCATTTGGGTTATTTCTTTTCAGCTAAAAGAACTTCATTTAGTGTTTCTTGTAAGGCAGGTCTATTATCAATGAATTCTCTCTTTCATGGTGTATCTGGGAACGATTTTATTTCACCTTCATTTTTGAAGTATTGTGCTGGATGCAAAATTCTCGATTGGCAGTTTTTTCTTTCAGCACTTTGAATATATTGTTCCACTGCTTTCTGGACTCTATTGTTCAGATGGGAAGTCAGCTATTAATTGTATTGATGCTCCTTTGTACATGAAGAGTCATTTTCTCATTGCTGCTTTTGAGATTGATCTTCGTCTTTAACTTTCAACAGTTTGACTATAATATGCCTAGATGTGCATCTTTTTGTATTTATCCTACTTGATGTCTGATGAGCTTTTTGAACTTGTAGATCAAAGTTTTACATCAGATTTGGAAAGTTTTTATCCATTATTTCCTCCAATATATTTTTTCTACTTCTTTCTCTTGCTCCTCCCTGTGACTGCCATTACATACATGTTGGTATACTTGCTGTTGTCCCACAGGTCTCTGAGACTTGTCCTTTTCTTAGGAAATTTTTTTTCTCTGTTCTTCAGATTGGATTATTTTTATTAATCTATCTTCATGTTCAGTGATTCTTTCTTCCACCATCTCAAATATGCTGTTGAGCTCCTCCAGTGCATTTTTCATTTCAGTTATTGCATTCTTCAACTCCAGAATTTCCATTTGGACTTTTGTATAATTTTGATCTTCTGTTGAAAATTGCTTTTTGTTGGTTTATTGTTGTCATACTTTCCTTTAGTTCTTTAAATATGATTTCCTTCAGTTCCTTGAACATACTTATAAAATAGCTGCTTTGAAGTCTTTGCTAAATCCAACATCTGGGAATACTCAGAGATATATTTATTGACTGCTTTTTTCCTTGATTCTGAGTCACATGATCCCATTTCTTTGCAAGTGTCATAATTTTTTGTTGAAAAGTGGTCATTTAAAATAAAATATTGTAACAACTCTAGTTTGTCATTTTTCCTATCACTGATGGTAACACTTATGGAAATACAAGAGATATTTTATTCATAAGTAAGAAGATGAATAAATTCAAAGAAATTCACCATTATGTTGAATTTTTCTCTGTATCAATCAGTGTTTAAAAGCCTAGAAGTGTACCAAGGAAAACTAAACTGCAATCTATAAACTGACAACGATACCACAGTAACATTAGAAAGCAAGGTCTTGTTTATCTCTACAATCTTAGCTCCCTTTCATTTCCTTTCTCTTTTATGCATAAACACTTGAGGAAAATAATTTGATTGACTTAACTACATTAAAGTTATAGTTAATCTACTAAGGGTGTATAGTGCCTCAGGGAAATAAATTTCCTAGGGAATAGGTCAGTTCCATCTTTTGCTTACATGTTTCTAGGCAAGTTGTAGAAAAAGAATTAGTTGTCCCAATGACACTCCATTGGTGGAATTGACCATTTCATTATCTTTAAGGGATAAAAATGATGGGAAAATCTTTGTGAGACTGGTTCAGCCCCAAAGCTTAACCAAGATCTTGTGAGGGAATCTATCTATCTATCTATCTATGAGATATAAACATTTTTTATTGCCGTTCAGAATAAAAATTTGTCTTTTTATTAGAACAAAATTTACTTAGTAAAATATCTATACTGTGGCCATATAAAATTGTGATTATTCTAAAATTGACCTGTCTTTATTCTATGTGACACCAGATTTTGTATGAAATTTCTAGAACTGGACCAACTCCTCAACACTCTCCGGAACAAAAATACCTGTATTGGAAAAGATAAAATTCATCAACTTAAAAGGAAACAAAACAACATAACAATCCATGATTGGGGCTACCCTAATCTATCTGTATCCATGAACCAAGAGTCAGATGATGGTCCAGTTTCCTGGGATCAGGTATTGTCCTTATTCCTCTTATATCATCATTTGCTACTGTCAAAGGAAACCCAGCTGTGACATTTCTGTAAGAGCTGTAGAAAACTTAAAGGATAATGTGTATTTCCTTAAATGTGAAAACATTCTATTTCCAAAGAGTAGTCATGGGTTTTTTTCTTCTACAAGTGAATCTGTGCAAATATAAACACAAGGCCAAGATATTTAGGAGAATGATATATATTAATCTCTCTTTCCTCCCTTGGGTCTATATTGAATGTATGGGCAATTAATTCAACATAGGTATATTAAGCATTTACTATGTGCCATTCACTATTGTGGGTGTTAGGGATACAGTATTAAACAAAAATAGACACAGCTATGAGGCTGGCCTGGTGGTACAGTGGTTAAGTTCACATGTTCTGCTATGGCAGCCTGGGTTCACCAGTTCGAATCCCTGGTGTGGACCTATGCACTGCTTGTCAAACCATGCTGTGGCATACCTCCCACATATAAAGTAGAGGAAGATGGGCATGGATGTTAGCTCAGGGCCAGTCTTCCTCAGCAAAAAGAGGAGGATTGGCAGCAGATGTTAGCTCATGGCTAATCTTCCTCAAAGAAAAAAAAAATAGACACAGCTTCTATGGAGCTTACAGGTTAGTGGATGGATATAGACATTACATAATACTCAAAATAATGAGTGAACACTTTAAATTTAGGTTAGATTATAAAGAGATTACTTTGGGCTGTGAGCAACAGAGAAATATTTGTATAGTAGGTAGCACTGAGACGGTTTTTGAGAAAAGATGGTATATAAGCTTGTAAACATATCCATATCCACATTTCCTAAAGTTGTGTTCCAAAGCGCATTCACTCGTCTACCTCTGTGCTTCCTGAAAAAGGGTGTTATGTCAAATCAGTTTGGGAAATACTGGAGATGCACATTGTGCAGTAGCATACTAATGTATCTGGGAGATCCTTTAGTAAATGAACTTCTTTAATCTTATTGAATCTTGCATTTCTCAAACTTTGACCATAGACTCCTTCCCTTCCCTAACCATTTAAAATCCTGAGAAATTGATATTCAGTGATACAGTTTACATTTATTGGGTACTTACCATATGTTAAACATTGTGCTATTTCACCTGCATTGTCTCATTTAATTAATACAACGATATGAGGTTAAGTCATATTTTTCCATCTTATAGATGAGGAAATTGAAGCAGGGAGCTAATAAGTAATTGCTTAAGTTTACAGAAACTCAGGATGTATACATAGGTTGTCAGAGCATATTTGGTACTCTTAACAGCTATGGTATTGCTTAGGAAATGTTGATTTAAATAAATAAAATTATTTTTGTTATTTGTGTTTTAGATAAGCAATATTCTTATTGAGCACAATCTGTATCTTAAAAAAGCAAAATTTGTCACATATTCCTAACATTACTGAATGCTGTTCCCATAAGTTATGAACACGTGATTGGACAATATCACATATTTTTGCTATTATATATCTTAAAAAGAGAATTTCCATGACTTTTTTACTTTACTTTTCTGTTACAAGGCATCTATTAGAACTGATTCTTTCAAACTCACACTTATTGTATTCAACTGAAGGTGACAAGAGCTGACACCTACATTAATCCTTGTTTGTGAAGTCTCCCTAAATGCCAGGACTAGATCTTAGGGAGGGAACAAATTTGCCTGATAGAGACCCTATTTGCATAAAGAACAAAGGCTATTTCTTAAAATTTAGGGATTATCTGCCTAAGGCATACATCTTCCAAGAACAATAATTATTTTCTGTGCTGACTATGCAAAATAAACAAAACCACCTCTTCTACAATTCTTCTCTGCCCCAATGTGTCATTTTCCTCATGACTCTTGATAGGACCCTAAAATTGGAGACTAGATCTGAGGATCCTACCTATATTATTTAGACCAGTGGTTCTCAAAGTATTGTCCCTACACCGGCAGCATCTGCATTGCCTGAGAACTTGCTGGAAATGCAGATTCTCAGGTCCCACCCCCAGAATCTGCTGAATGATAAACTCTGAGAATGGAGCCCCCCACTCTGTCTCTTAACAGGCCCTTCAAGTGATTCTCAAAACTGAAGTTCAGGAACTAGTGCTTCAGAACATGTTTGTAAAGTTACCGTAGAAGTCTGATGATATGGACACAAGTATACGTATATCTTGAAGTTTTATGTAAAGGAATAAAGATACTTTAAAGGCTATTGACTGGGTGAGCTAAATTTTCATTCTATTTTCTTCTTTATTAAAAATATTATGTGTCCAAAATTTTATAGAATATAATGTATCACCTTTAAGGACATTTGTATTAGTGATTTCGGAAAAAAATTAAATAACAATGACCTAAATAGCTCCGGAACAGCAAGTAATTAATAAGGGCACAGAAGCTTACAATAGAATAACCTTACTCTATGAGAAGGTATTCTAAAACTAGAAACTATTCAACGTCTTGACAATGAACTGGGGAAAAATGCTTGGCATTCTGCTGATGTTTATGTCACTACTCTCTTACTTCTCAGCCAGGCATTTTCCAATAAGAACATTTATTAGGAAAGATTCATCATCAAAGTTTGTTGCTAGTTTCCCTTTATTGTTGCCAGTATTTTTAATGATGAAGTAATTAAATTTCATCAGTAACACATGGTGCAAAAAACAATCTTGTCTTTGACGCAAATTATGTTGATAAAGGGAGAAAAATCACAAGTTTAGCTTTCTCTTGTTGCTTTTTGTAGCAGAAACCTTTTGGAGTTCTTGCCCAATTCCTTTCTGAGAAATGCCTTCCTCACCCGCAGCGGGGAGCATGCTGTTCAGACATGAGCATGATCCCCCCTCCTATCTCAGGTGCAAAACCCGTTGAACCAGATGGATGTCTGACCCAAGAAAGCCCATCTTGACTTTGCTGAACCAAGCAGATCTGTCAGGACTTGCGGACTCAATGCAATCTTGGGTTCTTGGACTGCAAGGTCAAATTAGAGTTGGGGATCATATGGCCATATGTTTGCTAAAAGAAGGAAGGCCAGACTGTGAAAGGACATAGACATGTGCAGAGGGAAACAGAAAGGAGAAAACACTTGACCCAAAGAAAGAGAGAGAGAAAACATCTTTTGATTTCCAGTTTCAAGTTGAGTTCCTCTTGAGGTATGGCTATCCTTCCAATCTTCAAGATCCTCTGTGCCCTTCTAATATTGTCTCCTCTTGGTTTCTACGGGTTTCAGTGGTTTCCGTTCCATGCAACCAACCATGTCCTGATCAAGATAAAACTTTTTTTTTAATCCATGGCATCATCCCAAAGGATTTTTATGTGAGAAAAAAACAGGAAATGTATCATCATTATTTTTTGAATAGCAATGTGCATCTGTTAAAAATCCCTACATTTTACAGCATGGCAACTCAGACAAGCCTATAAATCACTGATTTAATAAAAAATACCTTATTGATTGCAACTGAAGATCACAAAGACATTGTGTTGGGGTCTTATGTCAATAGAAGACATCTGTTTGTGCTGGTGGAACTATATACCATTCTCAGCCACATCTTAAAACTTTTAAATGTAATTTTTGATACACAAAATCAGCCCTGAATACTTCTGAGATGGACAAATGTTTTGTGGCATGTTTTAGAGATCTGTTGCATTTGTCGTTTGTTTATAAATTCCTATCTCTTACAAATATGCCTATATAATATAAAAAAATTGCAAATATTTAGGTAAAAATCAGTAGGCAATAACAATGATTTCAATTGTTTTTGTGGAGAAGGGATGACAATTGACAGAGGTAGTCATATCATTCAGTGTTTACCCACCAACAAGTTGACACAACATTCACTTTTTAAAATATTAATTCTACTTTTATTGGTTTTGAAAATACATGTTGCCTACACAGGCTTATTAAATCAGAATATCGAAAGCAATGACGTCATTACCTCAGAGCTCTTGTTTACCATATGAACTTAGCTTTCCTGATATGAAGCCATCTCCACTGAAAAACAGCAAAACCATCAAGTCTTCCTTAGTCTCTTGGTTAGAACACCATTCAACACATTGTAAAATACAGTGTATCTTTTCAGGAAAGCAAAAAGTACACAAAACTCATACTAAACAATGCTCAAAATGAAAGTGAGATACAGCTGACTTTGATCAGAGGTTAAAAATAATCCTTGGGAGCCAGCCCTGAAGACCTAGTGGTTAAACTTTGGAGTATTCCACTTTGGCAGCCCAGGGTTCAGTTCCCGGTCATGGAACCACATCACCCAGCTGTCAGTTGCCATGCTGTGGTGGCAGCTCACATAGAAGAAATAGAGGGACTTACAACTAGGATATACAACCATTCACTGAGGCTTTGGAGAGGAAAAAACATCCTTGCAAGTTATTTATAGACAAAAGTTTGCAGGGAAATGTGTAATAACAGCTTCATGTGTTCATTTCATCGTTCCATTTGGTTTTGATCCCTCAAGGATGGCAGTTGATGGCGAATTTGTTTCAGTGCTAAGGTTAGTAACAATGTACGTTTCCCCTCCCCCCACCCCCATACAGACTTGCTTCTCTGCTGGGCAGCTGGTAGAGATATTCCTACAGAACAGCCTTTCACCCATTTCTAAGGAGGACTTTAAGCAAATGAGTCCAGGAATCATCCAGCAACTACTCAGCTGCTCTTGCCAACTGCCCAAGGACCAACAAGCAAAGCCGCCACCCACCACTTTGGAGAGTAAGTTCTGGTTCTTTACTAAGAAAGCAAATGAACACAATGTATGCTATAATAACAGTGAACGCAGGATACTTACTATATACCAGGCACTGTGCTAAGCATTTTACATGTATCAACTCATTTAACACTCACCACAATGCTATGAGCTAGATACTACTATTATCCCCATTTTACAGATGAGGAAACTGAGGCACATAGAGGTTAAATGACTTGTCCAAGGCCACACAGCTGGTCGGGGATGGAGTTAGGATTCAAACCCAGGCAAGCTGGTGCCAGAGTCCTCGTCTTTAACCACTAGGCTATACTACCTTTCAGTGAGTATTTTCCATTTTGTACACATTGATTTTGTCCCCTATGTTTGACTCAATCATGGACCAACTTAAAAGTCCATAGTTGAGAACTGACATGGTATTGGAGGGAGAACATTAGTGTTGGGATCAGAAATGCAGAGTTGAGTCGTGCCTCTATCCCCAGCCAACTCTGTGATCATAAGCAATCTCTTTACCTCGCTGAGCCTGTCTCTTTTCCTGCTCAGTGAGAAAGCTGTGATATCCTGCAGGGCTTACCATCCTTTCACACATCATGGCCCATATGAAAAATGAAGGCCCATTGGAATAAACCAAAGAGGCTTCTCTGGGATGGAGGTGACTGGTCCAGGGAGGTACCAGCCTCCCAGACCTGGCTGGCAGCCCCAGGAAGTGAAGGGATCAATATTTGTGCTCACCTGTATCCCATTGATTCATTGCAGCAGGTGAGCCCTACCGTAAGACTTCACAGGGTGTCTGTGAGGTTCCAGTGGGACAGTATGCACAAAAAAGTATTCTGTTAACTTAAAGCCCTGTATATTTCAAAGACCAAAAATACGGTAGCCTAAGAACATCCATGATGGATAGAAAAAATGTGACAGCTAACACATGCAACCTTTAAAATATTCCCATTCATCTGAAGGCCTTATATACATATATGTTTTCACACCTGCTTTTCTTTCTCTTTGAGATAGTCTGCAACACTCATTGTAGCTGAATTGTTCAGCTATTCAATTCTAACCCACAGTGGTTTCTGCAGCCTCGAGTGGCTCCTTTGGAGATTTTATGTGAACCAAAACATGGCTGGCCTAATATCTAAGAATTAACATTTAATGAGAAGAAAAAAGCTTCATTAAAAGTGAGCAGCTAAATAATTCAGCACCTGGTGGTCAGTGATGGCTCAAAAATGGATGAGGAGGACAGAATGGTGGCACCTGTAAGCTTCCATGAGCATGTTTATATTCTCACCACTGGGCGTGGCGCCTGGGACATACAGGCTGCTCAGAAACCAGAGTTTGAACAGAAGATCCATGAAAAAAGTTTTATCCCCTTTCTTATTAACTTCTAGACCATTCTAGGGAATAGTCTTCTGAGAATAATACAAACAAGTCATACTCACTAAAGAACCTAGAAAAACATTACTGTCCTCAATTTAAAATGTTGCATTATGTAACTAAAGGGAAAGGCTTGTATTGGGCTTTTGAAATTACAGAAATGTAAGATGTTATGTTAAAGAGAGGAGGACACGAGGAGACATTCTTAAAAACTTAGTGTTCAGTATGCTGAAACCCAACCCCTGAGTTTCCAGGAAAGCGTGTTAAGGTGATGTATAAAGTAAGTTTCGGGTAGCTGTTCAGGAGTGGCTAAGAATTTAATTAGCAGGTCAAGTTCTATTGTATGATGGGAAACATTTAGATAGAACTGTCTGCAACTCATCTGACTTCAATCAAAACACCTTGACACCTATGTAAGGACCGGGGGGAAGTCAGCAGAGTCCGACGGCCACAAAAGTCAGAGAGTTTATGGTTTTTGGGCAGTCCTCGCCACATGAGAGCAGGTGAAGTCTGACTCACCAAGGATCTAAAAAGATTTATAAGCTCTAAAGTTAGGAAACATCCATTCTTCTCCAAAACCACACTGTAGCTGCCCTCTGGATGGAGAGAGGAATAGAAGAAGAATTGAAAAATTTGAAACTCTGCCTTTTGCCTAGGAAATGTCAGACCCTAAGTTGTCCTTGTGAGTTCTTGACATTTTACGATCTTTTGTAGCTACCACAAAAATGTGGCAACTCTGAACTTTATTAGACAGCCAGGTACTCATGTTAAGCCTCACATGTCTTTAATTTATGTGTTAGATGAGAAGAATGACATTCCCAAATAGAGTCTCTTGGTGGAGGAGTGGGATATGAAATGTCCTAAAATATCTCTAGGGATCTTTTTATATCATGGGTCTTTTTACTAAATTAGAGCAAAATAAAACCTCTAGGCAGGTGTGTGACCATTCCAAACCATTTTTATTATTTTTTAATTGTGGTAAAAAACCCATGAAATTTACTATCTTAACCATTCTTAAGTGTACATTCAGTAGTATTAAGAATTCTCACATGGTTGTGCAACAGATCTCTACAACATTTTCATCTTGCCAAACTGAAACTCTATCCATTGAACAACAAACGTTTTATAGAGATTTCCTAGCAGCAAAGAAATAATGGCGATAGTGGGAAAATCAAAGTTTGAAAGTTTTCTGCCTCCTCTGACTACACTATAAATGGCATATTAATATAGACTCCTGTATAATTTAGAACTTATCATTTAATAAAGGGCCTCTTAAAATCACAAGCCTAATACCATGTTACCAGCTAGTCTCATTAACATGATCTAATGTAGAGAGAGTATGTTCCAGAAAAGCACAAGAATGATGAGAATGGAACATCGTCCATTATAGTAAACTTCAAGATGATTGTTTCTTAAAATCTACAAAAGGCTTTAAGTAGTATGATAAGACAATTATTTGATTTGACTTATTATATATCTGTAGTCACTAAAGGAAACGAGAGTTTAATTTTATAATTACCTTTCTTCATTGCTAACAAACCAGTTTGCTATGACTTATAAGTTCTACCTAAGTCAAAAACATGGTATTTTCTCTGAATATCTGCAACCAAAGGATAATAGTGGCATGAATAACTCTTATCCCAAATTATTTATACTTGACTCTGAAAGCCATTTTTTCTCTCTTTTCATCTTTCTCTTTTCTTTCCTCCTTTATTTCTTCTCCCCTCATAAATATTTATTTCTGTTTGAATAATGATAAAAATTACACTTTCTGAGATTTTTCAAAATCTAGAAGCTTAGAAATATAGAATGAATTTAGAAGTTACAAAAAATTATTGCAATAATCCAAAATGTAGGTTGTCCAAATTTATGTTTTCAACTGCTAGACACTCAATGATCAGTTTTTACCAACACAATCACTCCTCTGAGTCATTGAGAATAATAACTTGTAACTTTTGGCTTTACAAGTAATTCTGAGAACTTTTGGAAGAAAGTGCTTGTTTTGTACATAAACATAGACCTAAGATGGGCCCATACTGTATGGTCCCCTTCACACTGCTTCCTCGCCTTCATAAGTTGAAATGTGAGTAGATGGAAATCATTACCAGTGTCTGTCGGCAGATGTAGCTTAAAGTGGGAGAAATTAATTTCTTTGGGAGCGGGAGGTAAGCTGGGTTCTTGCTCGCCACAGTGACTTTTAATAAGGGATAGACTAACTTCAAAGCAACAGGGTTATTTGGTAAAAGTCACTTCATTCTTTTTCTTAAAAATTAAAACCTTTTACCCAATATAACATTAACTAAACAATTTCATACCCCTATACGCTATATTTTAAGATGGATCCCTCTGGCATTTTCACTAGCATGGGCACTAACAGAGGGCTCTGTTTCTGCACCCTCCTTTTGACTTAGAATATGGCTACAGCACGGTGGCTGTGACACTGCTCACACTGGGCTCCATGCTTGGGACAACACTGATCCTTTTCCACAGCTGTGAGGAGAACTACAGGCTTATTTTACAGCTGTTTGTGGGCCTGGCGGTTGGGACACTCTCTGGGGATGCTCTTCTCCACCTGATCCCTCAGGTAAGCTGCTGTTTTTTGTTTCAGATGGAGTGTTTCTAATTTCCCTTTACATTTAGCCACTGAGGTGTTTATGCAAACTTCACAGCAACTTGGGTGAGTAGATATGGTGGCCGATGTTTTCCTTGGAAGTGAATATTATTTCCCCAAAGCACTTGTAGGAGAAAAGAGATGACCAATTGTTAGCTTCACCACACGTTATTCTTCTTCTTGAAATTTGAAAGAAAAAAAGGTGATCAGATGTAGATTCCTGTTAAGAAATATCCAGGAAGCTTATAGTAATTATCTATAAATAAAAATGAATGGGCTGTAAGATGTTGTGCTGGTTTCTCTCCAGTTGCCCTCAACCCTCGTCAGATCCATTCTCTGCCCTTCTCTGCTCTCTCCTCTGCCTCAGAAGATTGCATCTGCTCAGCTCCCTTGCAGGCTGGTTTGTTGTTTGGGTTCAGCCAATGAGAGGCACAACAGAAAAGTCAGGGTAGGAGGAGAGAGAGGCAGGGGTGTTTCTTCCTCCCTCCCTCCTGGCTATGGCACATGCTCTAGAAGCTGCTGATTACCTGCCACAGCTTTCTGGGAGGCCTCCTCCCCAGCGCCACCTCCCACTGAGCTTCCATAACATTATTTCTTCCCTTTGCCCTTTCAGCCCTAAGAGTGTTAATGGTTTCCTGGGGTTCCTCATTATCCCTCTTCCTATCCTGACCCTGCCCACACCTCTGTCATAGCACCATCATTAACCTCTCTTCCTTTGAACCATCAAAATGAATTTCCCTTTCTTGCCCAACTATTAGTGTCTAGATTTCCCTTAAGAAAAATGTAAGCACCAGGAAGCTGGCTCTTTGTTGAAGCCTTCTGAGGCTCTTTATTTGTCAGAAATGAAAGGACGAGGAGGACCTGAGATACAAGGGTTCAGGCAGAAGGATTTTCAGATGTGGTTATCTATTCCCTCTGAAATCTCATATGATGGATAATGATGACGGACAAATGATCCCCCTCTCACAAAGCCTGAGAAGTTAAAATTTTCCACAAGCCTCCGGCAATTTCCTACAGGGTCACTCTTGGTGCTTAGAGGCTCAATAATTATTATATGTTCGGAAAATCACCAAGCGAGCATTGGAGAAATGAAACAAACCAGTATTAGTTTTAATTTCCCTTGTAATCTAATTTTCTGGAAATATTTCAGGGCTTATTGGCTTGAGGCAGTGGCCGAGGCCTTTTTCTAGGTCAGCACAGCGGTTGCAGAGCTGTTCACTGTTCAGCATCCTGGCAAACAGCAAAAGGATCTTAAGGCTGCCTGGGTCTGCCCCGATGTGGGAGTGCACAGCTGGAGGCAGCAGGGGTAAACTTGGGGGTGGGTGGGGCTGTCACCTGCCTCTGCAGAGACCTGTTACAGAGGGGAACGTAAAAGATTAGCTGGGTTTCATGAAATTTAGAAGACAGTTGTTTACGTGAGCAAAGAGATGAGGACAAAAGTTATTGGGAAGAGGAAGAAAGATGCAGTACAAGCGTGGTGGAAAGTTAGAAAAATCAGTGGTTCCTGAATGTGGTCCAAGTGTTCAAAGGTCTGCACAGAAATGAGAAAAATACCACTGTCATGATTTCCTTTTTTAACTAGCTAAATTTATTCAACCTAAAGATCCACATTTTATTCTGAGATGGTGGGGTTTTCTACAGTTTTGTGATATCACAATGTTTTCCGTTCTGTGAAATAACGGTAATTACAAATATTAGTTAGGTGTCCTTTAACGCCTTTACCAAAAGAAAGAGTTGACGAACATATATTGGTTTTTAGCTGTGTCCATAAACTCAATGTTTATATGTAGATACTTACAGATACGTACAGTTGGCCCTCCATATCCGTGGGTTCTGCATTCACGGATTCAACCAACCTTGGATTGAAAGTCCTATGATGGCTACATCTGTACTGAAGATGTACAGACTTTTTCTTGGCATTATTCCCTAAACAATGCAGTATAACAACTATTTGCATAGCATTTACGTTGTATTAGGTATTATAACTAATCTAGAGATGATTTAAAGTATATGGAAAGATGTGCATAGGTTGTATGCAAATACTCCCTCCATTTTCTATAAGGGACTTGAGCATCCATGATTTTGGTATCTGCAGGGGTCCTGGCACCAATCCCCTGTGGATAGTAAGGGATGACTGCACTTACTCATGTCCTTGTGTATATACATGCATATACACATAAATATTACATATGTATATGTATGAATATAATGCATACAATATGTACACATACAATTTCTTTTTCCCTTTTTTAATTTAATGGTCAGTAACATTCTAAATGTGGAAACCACTGAGCTATTTCCCAAACTGCCTTCTCTTGGGGAGGGAATATGATACATAATGATTTACTAGCTCACGATAAATCACGAGGTCAACCAATGGAATGAGTCAACCAAGGGATGAGTCAACTAGAGGAAAATTCCTAATGCTTTTCTTATATTCTTTTGTGTCCCAGGGAGCTGACAGTATTGCTAGGCATACCATATACACTCGATGGGAAAAGTTTTTCAGAGGATTTCTTAGTTATTCTGAAGATTTATTAAGAGGTTTTTTTAATTGCAGTGGGCATGGGGAGAATAAATCCAAGATGAGATGTGTCTTTATATTTGTTCTAGATTTAAATTCATTGATTAGTTATAAAGCATTACTGTGCTAACAGATATGGATTGTACTCCTGAAAAAAAAATTTAAGTAAAGGACTGAGAATGTATGAAAATTTAGTCCACTTGCTGAAATAAGCTTAGGCTTCATTCTATGCATTATCAGAAGCTATTCAAAGCTCCCCTTTCTTTTTTCTTGTACGCCTTTTATTTTACTCTGATTAAATGATATAGTGGAAGTATTCATATATCTAAAGCAGACTGGGCTTTGAATGATTTTAGGAGTTGTCATGGGGTTCCTCAGAATGAAAGTTGAATATATTCATTACCAGACCCATAGATTAATATGTAAGTCATCAATTTTTTTTTTTTTTTTTTTTTTTTTGCTGAGGAAGGTTGTCCCTGAGCTAACATCTCTGCCAATCTTCCCCTATATTACATGTGGGATGCCGCCACAGCATGGCTGGATGAGCCCTGTCTAGGTCTACAACCAGGATCTGAACCCACAAATCCCGGGCTACCAAAGCATAGCATGCAAACCCAACCACTCCACCACTGGGCTGGCCCCAAGAAGTTATTTCTTTATGTCTCTTTTTTTCTAGGTTCTTGGCTTACATAAGCAGGAAGCTTCAGAGTTTGGACATTTCCATGAAAGCAAAGGTCATATTTGGCAACTGTTGGGATTAATTGGAGGCATCCATGGGTTTTTCTTAATAGAAAAATGTTTTATTCTTCTTGTATCGCCAGGTGCTAAGGTATATTTTAAGCTTTATTTCTTTTATTTTAGGGCTTTATAATATTCCTCTTTTATTTCAAAAGTACTTATTCAAAAGTAATTGAGATGTTCATGAAGTTGTCTATATAAAGGATGGGGCTCTGATTTCCAGAATACACAGATCATTCTGACTGCCAGCTTTCCTATAAGTATGGTTACTAATTTTTTAAACATCTGTTGCTGGCTAGTTCCTATACTTGTTACAACCCATTATTTGACCCCCATGGCTAGTTTAGAAACAGGAGACTATTTCGTGTCTAGGAATGAAGGTGTCCAAAGGCCTGGCACTGATCAGTGTTTTGATATCTTTCCTAACCAAAAACAAATAAACAAGCAAACCAAAACTTTGAAAATTCACAAAATTACCCATAATTTTCTATCTTAAGAGCATTTAAAATTATAAAAATAAGAAGCTCAGGAATGGGATTTGTGTCAGATCTTTTTCTCAGCTGGAATAATTGCTTTCATTGTGCCTGTGTTTGAGTACTTTCTACATATATGATGAAATGTAAAATGCAGTGTGGGTTTTCTTTTGGATTTTTTTCTCTTACACATTACCCCATAAGAAAATAGATTAACTGTTTGGTAGGATAGTTAAAAAGGGAAATGCTTGTGAAAGACTCCAGGAGATTAAAATAAAGCAAATTTTCCTTACAAAATCCTGGGGCTCTGCAGCCTCTTTGGTTTTCTACTTAATCCCTGGCCTTCTACCTGTTCACGTAATATATAATGCCCGTGCTCAGGGCAAACTTTAGTAGTCATTTAAAATATCAGCACTTTTTGTTCATTGTCATTCCTGAATTCATTCAGAATTTTATTTTTTGCATCAAAAAATACAATGGTTTCAAAAAATACCTGGAGACAAATGAAAATGGAAACAAAACATACCAGAATTTATGGGATGCAGCAAAAGTGATACCAAGAGGGAAAGTTATAGCAATACAGGCTTACCTCAAGACAAAGAAAAGAGATGGTTTTATGGATGGATAGAGAGATGACAGATGGAGAGATATGTGATGAAGTACATAAAATAAAATGGTGATGGTGAAGCATCTAGGGTCTGGGTATCTGATTGCTCACATTAAAATTCTTTCAACTTTTCTATATATTTGAAACTTTTCATAATAAATAGATTTTTAAACAAAACCCTGTAAAAATTTTCTTTTTTAGTGAAGCAGGGTTGTTCATTGGCCTAAGGCCCAAACTAGGATGTTATAGTAATTCAAAGATTGGGAATGCCAGCTTTGAACACAGCACCTACTCTAGAAGTTTAGGATCTTAACCTCCACCAAAGGGGTTCTAATCGCAGTAAGCACAAAAAAACCGTGATAGAGCCCCTTTATACACGATAGATTAGCATGCCTAGACTGGGAAAACTAGATTACAAAGCAAACATATCAACCTACGTGTAATAGTTAGAAATTTAACCTGGATGGAAGTGAGTGAAATAAATTCTGAACATCCAAAAATGTAGGGTTTATTCAGATTGTCTTGGGCTTGTCAGGGAACTTAAAATGAGTTTTAAGAACATAATTTCAAGATTCATGATACTGCATAAAATAAAAGGAATGTGAATGTTTTAGAAGCTACAAATGCTTTAATTGATGAATACATTTCTGGAGATGTTAATTGAGCACTTACAGGGTGCAATAAAGTTTCAGTTATCATCCTTTTGTTAGCTCCATCAGAAAGAACTCAAAATTTAATTTTGTAGTGAATAAGAAAGACAGTATAAAAACTACCACTGTTCAAGCATTTTAAAATCATAACTAGATATTTTTGAAGTTGCGTTCTTAAAGCATTCTGAATATGCATGATGTTTCAGATCAGTCCTGTGCTTCCCCAAGGTTAGCCATGTTAGCAAGTATTTATCATGATGAGGTTCTCCTGGTACTCTTTTTGTGCCACCTACCACTTTGGCAAACAAGCAAAATGTTAAAGAGAACCATGGAATTGACAAAGGCTGCACCGGATTCTTTTGGCTTCGGCATTAATTTTAAACCATCCTCATCCAGCAGGGCGTGTCATTGGTTAATGGGCACGTGGGACATTCCCACCATCTTGCACTCAACTCTGAATTAAGTGACCAGTCAGGCAGAGGCAAGTCTGCGTCAACTATCCCGTTGGTATGTTCCTGATCTGAAATATTCTGCTGATTTGATTACCATCTTTCCTTTATTCCTCAATGAATAGATAAAAATCAGTAGGCTAGATATAAATATAATCCACTCCTGATTTACCTATTCTTGATCTTGATAAATAGTTTGGAAAACTTTGTTAAGCACCTGAAAGCTGTTTTAAAGGGTAAAAAATGCTTTCCACAGATTCAAATCATTGCTATCTGCATCACTTTGAAACACATATGGAATCAGGTTGACATAATATCTATCTCCTTAGTCATTTTGTTTGCAAGTTTTCATAAACCAGTTGGCCCTTAGGTTTTCTATGCTGAGTAATGCTCAGCCATGACTAAGTAGGACCAAATTAATGTTGAGCAAGGACTTATTACATCTAGGAGTGGGGTGTTCATTTCTTAATGCAGGAGAGAACTGATTTTGCCCAATTAGATGTCCCATAGTAAGTGCCTTTTGTTACACTGAATTTTCCATGACAAAATGTTTTATGTGAATTCTCAAGGCACAGCTTCCAATCAGGTTCCAAACAAGATTCCCATTGTCATTCTCAAAGTAACAAGGAAAGGGACAGGAAAAATATGCAAGTAAGATATAATAGTTAGAAAACTTGCCTCCTCTCACCATGGCCTTCGGGGAGAAATTTACAGCTCAAGAATAGATTCTTAACCGACTTGAGAAGAGTAAGCTATTCCTGAGACGTTAACACAGCAAAAGAGAAGCCTGGCAAGTAGATCGCAAATTGAGAGCTAACTCAGACATAGGAACAAAAACTTGCCTTTAGAAAAATGATTTTAAAAACCTTATTGTGTTTATTGCTTAGATACTTCACATGTGGTTTGGAAGAAGATAACTTTAGGCTGAGATTGGTTTTTAAAATCCCTTTAGTGCTGACTTTATTCCTTCTGTTTGAATGAAGGGTCCAGAACCTCAAGGTGCATATAAGCAATCTCTGATGCTGACTTGATGAGTTTGGAACTATTTGAATACTCTAGCTCACTAATAACACATTCACCATTTCTTTTGTTATTTCAGCACAAGATCAATCTAAAGTGAACAGGAATAATATGAATTTTTAGAACTGTTTGACTGGTTCAGTTTCTGGTTTTTCCAGAAGGAGGGGAACTCACAGGTCTTTCCAATCAACAAGGAGTCTTGGAAGTTTGTCTCTAAATTTGCTTTTTTTTTTCTTTTTGAGGAAGATTAGCCCTGAGCTAACATCCTCGGCCAATCCTCCTCTTTTTGCTGAGGAAGACTGGCCCTGAGCTAATATCTGTGCCCATCTTCCTCTACTGTATATGTTGGATGCCTGCCACAGCACGGCTTGATAAGCAGTGCATACGTCCACGCAGGAGATTAGAACCGGCAGACCCTGGGCCACTGAAGCACAGCACGCGAACTTAACCATTGTGCCACCAGGCTGGCCTTGTCTTTAAATTATTGTACGTAGTTTGACAATATATAACTTTTTGGAAAAAGAATCCTGGAATAAATATTTGAACTCAGTCTTTTAATGGAGCTAGAGAGCCTTTTGATTATAATCAGGATTTTGAAGTAATGTTAAAATATCACCTTTTTTTTGTTTCTAGATCCACCAATTTCAGGCAAAAGTTCTGTCTACCTCCTCTAACTCTGTGTCCTTTGGGTCCTATCTTACTTCTCAGCATCCAAACGTATCCTATAGCATCTTTTGAACAGCTACTGTTATTGGAACATGCGAACTTTAAATTTAATTTCTCTATTTTACATTAAAAAAAAGATGCTTGTGTGTCACGTAAAATTTATCTCAAAGTTCCCACAACTTTGGGTGATAGAATTCTGTGAATATGCTTCTAGAGGACATGTTCAACAAGCAGATAAAAAGTATTCTTTTCACATAACCAAACAAGGATCTGAGGCATGAGGGAGAAAGTGACTTTTCTGAAATTGAACCGTGAGTCAGTCTCTCAAATAAAATCACGTAATCTTAACTCATAGAAGTCAATTTCAAAATCTCACTTCCCCGTCATATGAAAGGATGAAAACATTTCTTACATTTCTTACATTTGTCTTTTGTAAGTCTGTTGATCTACTCTCTTAATCAGCAAGATTCTTTTACTGACTTGCGAGGCCACAAAAACAGAATGTTATGCTACGAAGAATGACGTGAGGTGTCAGGCTTGTGCGAGTTTCTTTTCCATCCAGAATACACGATCGGCTTAAAGATCAGAAGATGACTCCTAATCCACAGTCCACTATAGGGGAGAGGGCCAAATTAGGTTAAGAATCAAGAATCATTTTTTCCTACAGGTTTTGAGTTTCATACAGGCTTACATAATTTAAGAGTCTGAATTACAGACTGTCTCGGTGGCTTCTAGCTCTCTGTGGAAGATTCTGAGCTACGCAAAAGTGCTATTTTCATCTAAATATAGATAGTACCAAAAGTATGCTTGCAGACCCTCAACTCTACTTTCTGTTTATCTATGAAATTTAGAAGTTCTGATGTACTCTACAGTATTAAAATGTCTTTTAAAATCAACATAACTCTTCAGATGTTTCATTATTCAACAAAATACTGACTCTTCCTTATCTTTCATCATTTATTTTTTTAATTTAAAATAGAAAGGCCCAGAAGATTCACAGGCACCTGAAATTCATATAGGCAGTATGACAGCTTCCAACAGAAAATGTGAGTACCAAATTTAAAAAGCTAAACTTTAAATGTACAAAGTGCCATAGAAAAAGTTTATGTCTGCTTTAAGATAAATATGTCAAAACCATATAGATTTCATATTGAGTGTGTATTTCACTATTAAAACCTTTGCAATGAAGTTTTTGTATTTATTTTTTATTTTATCTTATCTTAATTATTTTATTGAGGTCATATTGACCTATAACTGTGTAAATTTCAGGTGTACATTATTATATATCAGTTTCTGTACAGGCTGCGTTATGTTCACCAAATAAAATTTTTGATAAAGACTCATTCTTATCAGTCTTTCAAACATACTACACATTAGTATCAAATTTATTCCATTCTTTAAAAATTATGTTGTCCCCAATTGTTTAAAACAGATCCTCTGAAAATTTCAATTAGTGTAAATACACATGTGGTTATGGGGCTCCTTTAGAATCATGGTCATGCCATGACTGAGCCTTTTGCTTCTATGTGAAGTCTGGAGACATCATTGGTTCTTTGGTCTTCTATCAGAGTCTACTGAAATTCATCCCAAACGTCTGTCTCATTTGTGATATTGCCATTGAGCTCAAATCAGTGATCACCTCATTCTTCACATCTTATTCTATAACTCATTTATCCATATAATTTTCAACCAACCTTTTTTTTGCATGATTTCACCTATTTCTGAATTTAATTTACCAGTTTTGGATAGGACTTTCTTCCGTTTTGCTTATGTTTCTGAATAATTCTTTGAAGTTTGTTTATTTTGTTGGTTTATTTTGGTTTTCATCAGTTGCTCCCGAATCTTTGCCCCATTTCTCTCACTTATGTTACCCTTTTGTGACACAGCCCTCCCAATATTTCAGTGTTAAGCAGTCATGATTTGTTATTCCCATTCTACCATAAGTTAGTTACCCAATAATAAAAATAGCTACCCTTTATTGAACACTTCTTACACGCCAGACATGATACTAAACACTTGACATGGATTATCTCATCTAATCCTTCTACAACTTAATGAAGAATAATTATTATCCAAATTATGCAAATAAAGAAACCAATTATTAGACATGATAAGTCACTGCCCAGGATTACATAGCTAGTAAGCTCCAGCACTGAGGAACTAAAGAAATGCTAATGCACCAACAATTTCTTTGTGGTAATCATTCTTGCACGCATCCTTGTATTTTCTCACATTCTTTCATTCATTCAAGAAATGTTCCAAGATGTGCAATGTTTCAGGCACTGTGTATTCACTGGAGAATAAAATAAAAATAGTCTGTATTTCTAGTTTGCAATATGGTTAGGGATATATATACTAATAAGAACAAACATGGTTGTAACAATCACTATTCTAAATGTGTTAGATATATTAACTCCTGTAATTTATTTATTTGATTTAAAAAATGTAATTACATACTCTGTCCAATTCCGCTTTCAAGACATTGTTAGTAATATTTTTCCTTGTAAATCCTTACTTCCAGGAGAAATTTTAGAATGTCTGGTACCTCATAGGTCTGCAATAGACATTTGTTTGCTTTTGTTTTCGAAAGAAAGGAAGAGGAGAGAAGGATGCGCCTAGTCAAATTAGGAGCAGGGAGCGGATGCTAGATCGGGGAGTAATGAAGCTCTGATTCAAATATTTTCAGGCCTCCTATCTTTCCAATTCAGATATCAAGCTTGGCATACAGAATGAATAGTTAACAAATCCAAATTCGATTACTCAACTGCCCTTTTGCCAGGGACATATTGAATTAGCTTCAAATATTTGATTACTTGCTTCGTATTACCTCATTGGTGGAACTCAGCTTGTGTTTCAAAACAAAAGATGCAAAAATCCTATCCACAGTCTGACTTAAATAAACAAAAAGCAAAATGATACAAGATCCAGCCCATGTTTCAGCATGGAAAACCTCTGATAAGTCAGACAAATGGAACTCAATATGCCTGCCAGGTACATAAGGAAAGGTAAATATTCTTGATAATTCTATAATGAGTTCATTAAATTACCAGTGATGGCTTGTCTTATCTTCTGCTGACTCATGTTTAAATTATCTTAAACAATATGCACAATGTGTTCCTTGTGGCTTAGAGGCAAATACGTATATTTGCCTTGTGGCTTGTTACTTGTCCATGATCTGACATTTAGAAACCCATAATCAGAGATAATAAAATAATAGACAACAAAAATAGGCCACACTGTTTTTTAACAGAGTATAAATTGGGTAAAAATTTTCCATTTGAATATATGCTACTAATATCAAAACTACATCTAGGTGTACGGAAATCACACTTTATTTGTATGATGCGATGTTGTCAAATGTATTATTTTAGTTTATTTTATTTTCACAAAGAAGAGCTCGGTTTCTGAAAATTGGCAGGAACAGCTAAGTGACCTGGTAGCATTATCAGATTCTGAGACCTTCTAGGCACTGCCAATAAGAACTCCTAGAATTCAATAATTTGATATTTATCCTGTGTATTTATGACTCTTACCTAAAATCTGCCTATTATTAATAGAGAATAAAGTGAATTAGTAAACCACCAGAGGATATAAGTGAGTCTTACAGCGGTAGTTGTAACTGAAGCATGCTTTTTAGAAGTCAAATGTACGGGGTGTCTTTGCAAGGTAGTCAACACAGCCCTCTCCTGGCTGATAGTCTGAGCTATATACACTGTTTACTGTACTGAAGTTGCTTATTTCGTGGTGTTGGATACGATGAGTCAAATTGTAGTCTCCAAATAAAATAACAAACCATATTATAATATGGTCCTCCCGCAGACATAGTCCACACAACAGAAACCAGGAGGTAGCCTCTTCCTACTTTTACTGAGTGTACAATTATTGGAATATTGTGTTCAGTTCTAACAGTAACAATGGCTAGTGCTTCCAGTCATCACACAGCATACGTCTACTAAGAAATTAATGAAGTTTTAGACTGTGACAATTGATTTTATTGTCTCTTCTTATCCAATGGTATACCTAGAGAGTTTAATATCAGACTAAGTGTTGTCCCCAAAATATTTGTTTTGTATTTCTTAGTCGTTCAACTCCATAACCGGGTTATGCTAATATAGTTTTAGGTTTTTGAAAACAGAAATTCTACCCACTAACAACTTGAACCCAATTATAATCTAAATTATTTCATTAATTAAACTCATTATGATCTAAATTATTTCATTGACTCTACTAATCAGATAGTGTATATTATGTAATAGAATCCCAAGAAAACATCTTCTCTTTATTTTGTTCCCAAGAAAACATCTTCTCTTTATTTTGTTCAATGTGCAGCCAATCTAGAACTGAAAGTTATTTTTCGGAAAGAAAGAATATTTGGTAATTGTTTCAAACCTAACTGTGGGATCAGCAGAGTTGGTAGTGGGTCTGTCAGGGTCACAGTTGGGGAGTTCCTCAGGGAGGGTATCAAATTATTTTTAAATGCTTTACAAAAGACACACATGGAGAGGTCGTCAGTGGTATTTTGGGAGGTTATAGCAATATTACTTTTATTTTCTTCTTTTGGCATAGCTGGACAAGGTGATAGAATAGTGAATGCCAGGGCATAATTTATCTCATTGTTAGGCACACCTGTTAGAAAAACAGTGACCATCCATCCAAGCATGTTGGTTACCATATTTGTACCTCCAATCCTGACATTTTGAAAGCTGAAGCAAAGCGGGGTAGCTTCGATGGAATTTAAGAACATCAAGGGTGCATGGGGAAGTTGGTCATGTTTGAGGGATTCCGTGAATTACTTAGTGTTCTGTTAATGCTTCTCACACCTTTGTTTGGTTCTTTAGGCGAAACCATTAGCTTGTTAGCAGTAATGATCCTGGTTGGGGACAGCCTGCATAATTTTGCAGATGGCCTAGTAATAGGAGCAGCGTTCTCATCTTCATCCGAGTCAGGAGTGACCACAACAATTGCTATTTTGTGTCATGAAATTCCACATGAAATGGGTAAGTCTGACAGTAGAACCACTGTTTCCTGCTTGTTCAGAAAATTGTAATATATTTCTAGCTATGGTTTACTAGGCTTCTTTTTCCAACATACAATTGAAAGAGGAATACTTTCTGTTCATAATTTATTTAAACCATAAGAAGCAGAGAACTTGAAAAAGAGAATTCCTGTACCTCAGGATGAAATTCAATTAGACTCCTTTATGATATTTCCCAGGGCCAGAAGTGATTCTCCTTGGATTCTGGAGAATTCTATATGGGAGAAAGTCATTCAGAGAAACCTTTTGAAGAACTTTGGCAAGAATTTTAAAATCTGCATATTCAGTGTGGGAAAAACATTAAGAGGGGAACTTTACCCATTATGTCAGCAAACAGGCCAGTGAGATAACATTTAGATTAAAGCTAAGCCATGGTTTCATCAACTCGATTTACACAAAATGTCTAAAGCCAAGCAGAAAATTGAAATGGCAGGCGTATGGTAGCAGATGTGTGTTAAGATTCTTTTTCTGGATAATCTTAACAGCCCTGTAATTCAAATCCTGCCTCCTGGGAACCAAGATGAGACAACATAGGCATTTATGAAACAGTTCCAGAAAGAGTAGAGGCTGGTCTCAGGAACACACATGCCCTAAAGAGAGGGCTCTTAACAGTCAATCTTTCTGTCCCTACTTTCAGGCCTACGTTGCCCCCTGGGTCCATCCCTCCCTCTGGTGTTAAGTGTCTATTGCCCAAAGTCCTGTCACTTTCTCCTCACAGGCCCATCCCTCTCAGAACAGTTTATCCAAGGTCCTTCCTGAATCCGTTAAAATGTTCCTGGTCTGGGAGCTATCTTCTGTGGTTGTGCTTTTAGCTACTATAATGAAACCACAGGGGAGGGTGACAGTCTGTGGCAGGCCAGCAAAGATGTTTTAAGATGTGCTCATAAGACCAATTATGCAATGGAACTAGGAAACTGAGTCCCTAAGTGTCTCTTTACTGAATTTCAGCCTGATCCCAATCCCTAAAACTAAGCAATAGGGGCTCTCAGATTAAAAGGTCATTCTTCTAAGACAGACACTGTATGATTTCACTCATATGTGGAAGATAAACAAACACATGGACAAAGAGAACAATTTAGTGGTTACCAGGGGAAGGGGGGTGAGGGGTGGGCACAAAGGGTGAAGGGGCGCACCTATATGGTGGCTGACAAATAATAATGGAGAACTGAATTTCATAATGTTGTAAACTATCATAACCTCAATAAAAACTAAATAAATTATTTTTTTAAAAAAGGTCATTCTTCTTTTGGAGGAAAGTTGTGGAGAGAATAATGTCATTTTTCTATAATCATCAAGGCAATAAAACATTTTCTAAAGGAAAAATTTGTTTTCCTTAACAACTTTTGCAATGATTTTAAAATTTCATATTAAGTAGTTTTCTCTTTCCCCACAGCACTTCTTGCAGAAATAAATAATAAAAGCCAATATAATGTTTACTACCTCATGATTTTGCCTGGCGAATTTCCAGGCAAAAAGATTTAGAAACCCTGCAACAGCAAGGGCTTTATTTTGCATTTATCTAAGTTGAAAATGTCACAGGACGTGAGGAACTAAAGAATATGTCACAGTTCTCTCTGTAAATGCTATCTTTAGGAGCAGTAATGGGAATAGAATTCTTGAAATGTAGCTTTCTAATAGTGTGATGAGTTGGCTATGAATCCTAGAGAAATATAGGAAAGTGTGTTATTAACTGATCATTCAACTTTACTTATAAAATTGGTCCCAGTTGCTGAAATTTGAAGCAAGCTAATAGCACATGACTCTAACAAAGGTGTCATCAGTTAAGTGATAATTATATATTTTTTTTCCTTAAATTTCAGGAGACTTTGCTGTGCTCTTAAGCTCTGGACTTCCTGTTAAGATTGCCATCCTGATGAATTTTATAAGCGCTCTAACTGCCTTCATAGGACTATACATTGGCCTCTCGGTGTCAACTGATCCATGTGTTCAAAACTGGATCTTAACAATTACTGCTGGGATGTTCTTATATTTATCCTTGGTGGAAATGGTAAGCTTTGTGGCTTTCCTATTTTGTTTTTCAAAACACTGAAAATTTCAAACAGAGAAAAAGCAATAAAATGGAGGGATAGATGGAGAGAAGAGTATAGATAATATAAAAGGCTAAAGAAATATTCTATGTAATCCAAGAAAGTAAGTTGTAGGCAAAATAAACGTAATTTGAGCTACAGAAAACATTGACATTCTACTACTCAGCTGTAAAAAAAAAAAAAGGATAAAATCGTCCCATTCACAACAACATGGATGGACCTTGAGGGTATTATGTTAAGTGACATAAGCCAGATAGAGAAAGACAATCTCTGTATGACTCCACTCATATGTGGAAGTTAAACATGTAGACAGAGAACAGATTAGTAGCCACCAGGGGAAAGGGGGAAGGGGGGTGGGCACAAAGGTTGAAGTGGTGCACCTACAACACGACTGACAAACAATAATGTACAACTGAAATTTCACAAGGTTGTAAAGTATCATAAACCCAATAAAAAGTTAAAAAAAATTAAAGCATAAAGACCTAAAAAAAAATTGACATTCTTTTAGTGAATTTAAGTGGAATGAATGAAACTTTTATAATTGTCAAAAAGTGATCATCACTTCATTCTGCTATGGCTCTGCATCTGTAGATGATGATTGCATTGCCAGCTGAAAAATGAGAAGTTCTGTTAAAGAGCCAGCTATTTTGTTTATGCTTGGAAAATACTTCAACTGAATTTGTCGTTAAATTAAGTAGCTGTTTGACTTAATTAACCAACCGTATTTTTAAAAATAATGATTTCATCGACTATTTCATCTATCATTTAAGTTATAATTGTCAAAAGGCTATCATGCTGGTGAAATGAGAAAGATTATTATAGTATTGGGTCTGTAAAGTTGCAACATGTATTTATTAAAGAGGTCCTTGCCGACATTAATGGTAACTTAGTCATCACTTTTCATTCTCCATAATCGTATGAAGAAATTGAACCTGGGAAAATTTACATCTTTTTGCCTCTTAAATTCTGGTCTCTGCAAGATAAACCAGTTTTTTTTTAAGGTCATCTTCTTTTAGACTTGCTTACAACTTAAATGTCTTAAGGCAAAAGTTGTAATGATTATCCTTTCTCATGGGTAGGATAAGGCAAATAAAAATGACGTACATTAACAGAAGAAATATTTAAGACTAAAAATCAATAGAAAGCCAGTCAGAACAGAAGCAGAATATGTGATTACATGTATCCTGGAGCAGAAAAGTAAAATAAACAATCTTGAGGATAATATGTGGAATAGGACCATCGGTATTGCCTAAGGATGCGACAGAATCCCGCTATTGTCCTGGAAGTAAATAAAAAGAAATGTATCACAAGGAAAAAAATCTGGAAGACAGAAACCTGTGCTGACACAACCAGAATAACAGTGATTTCTTGAAGTAGATGTCAGCAAGGGGATTGTGTAAGTGTCACCATTTTAAACCCCAGCATAAATGCTTCTGACTTTCCAGTTGTTTTTCTTAATTCTCATGAAATTGAAATAGATGAGGTGAACACCAAAATGTACCTCCATGTTTAGAAATGTTCTTACATATTATTTATGATACTCAGGAAATTTCCTAATCTTGATAGTGAAGATAGCTAAAAAGTGGGGTAAATTCTACCCCCTTTTCTAAACCCCAATCCCCAAGCCGCGCTCAATGTTACAGAATTCTGCGATTTCTAGCGTGAGAAATCTGGATTTCTAGCATGGTGTGACTTGAAAAGTACACTGTCGCTCATCATTGGATGTTGCAAGCTACCTTTTGTTTAAAATGTCTGTATATCAGTTCTCAAACTCACTCTCGAGCCTCCTGATTTTCAGCTTTCTATTCTGATTTCTTTTCTCTTTATGAGTCAGTTGGGGGCAGTTGCTGTATTCTTTTGAAGTTTACTTTGTCTTTGAACATAATCTAGACCTCTCTTCAAGTCCAACGGATGTATATGTATGTAGTCAATCCTTTTTGGTGTTGTTAGGGAATCTGCTCTCCCGAAATTGGAAATTGACCTGGAAGATTATCAAGAACGATTTGTCATGTAGAACCCTAACTAAATATGTCATTGTCCCCCAGATGTTTCTCCTCTTGGTCTTGTAAGGATAAGCAATTGCTTGTAAGAAAGCAATGTGGAGAATATTCTATGAGATTCCAACAAGAATAAATCTTGACCTTATTGCAAATTACTATCAGCCAAGGAAAAAAGCAGCATTCTGGCAGAAAGACAGGAAAGAAAATACTCTGAGTTTCCCGGGGCTACTTCCTAAAATCCAGGTCGCCTGCTCTCACGGCCTTTTGAGTAACTTCTAAACAAACACAACGCTTTCACAGAGGAGTAAGTTTAACTGTTGCTGTATTCTGGGGCTGTGCCAAAGAAAATAGTCTTTTGTCATTTAAAGGGAAGAAAACAAGGTTTCATGACTCTGTAAAACAGCAAAGAAAATAAATGACAGCAAATAAAGGGTAAGAGAGAATACTTGCCTACACTGGTGATTTACTAAACCCTGGAAATTTACCAGGCCCCTTTTGAGCAGGGTTAATGTGAAAAGATTAGCTGGATTTTTGCTTTGCTTGTTTGTTTCAAAGAAATTGGGCATGTAATTTCAAATTCCAAAAAGGAAAAGAACTAGGGGCAAAAATGGAGCCATTAGCAATGAAGTCAAGGAAAAAGAAAGTCTTCTCTAGGGAAATCTACCAGCTTAAATGCTCCAAAGTGGTATTGCCTTATCCAAGAACACAAACTCCCAGTTGCACTGAATGGTTTCTAAAGAAAGTTAAGAATGAATGCAGCTCTGGGTGGCCTGAGGAAATTCATCCTCTGTTACAAAGATCAGTGTCCTAGCCTGGATTTCCCCCAAGTGGAGGCTAAGACAAAGGCAGTTCAGCTTGGAGGTGATTCCAGGGAGCAGGAGTGAAGGGCAGATGGAGCGAAACAGAGAAGGATGAAAAATCTATAAAATGATGTGTTTTTGTTAAGTTGACCACCAGTATGGGGGATCCATCACACAGGACCTTCTGACGTGGCGCCTGTCCCCATTGTTCAAAGCTGGCCCCAAAAGCATTATCCCCCTACACTTCCAGGTTATGCATGCTTGAGTGCCAAGGGATTTCCCATGGTGGTCCTATGACATCACACTAGAGACGCCCAGGGCAGGAGAAAGAGGCATGCAGTGTGTGACTGAAGAAAAGCTCTGTGCAAAACCAATCAACGCCTCCTTGGAACTGATCTCTGCAGCAGTAGCTGGGGTGAGATGGGGCTGAGAGACTATAAACCAGCACAAAAGTACTGCCCATTAGCAGTTGACCCCTTCACCACTCAAATATGCGCATGCTCTCCTTTACTTTTAAGTCCTGTCTATCCCAAAGTCCCTTCATGTTGGCAGCCAGACAAAAACTCCACAAAGACTTAATACAAAATGGTTAGTGGAAGCTCCAAACTCTGCTGATCTTCAGGCAATATGTGATATTTGTCATCTTTGTCCTCCAGCACCCAATGTTGATTCTCCTCACCTTCAGGCTGTGCTTTGGCTGAACTAGATTTCTTTTTTATTTTTTAATTTATTTTTTTATCGCAGTAACATTGGACTATAACATTATATAGTTTTCAGGTGTACATCGTAATATATTTCAAATTCTGTGTAGATTACATCATGTTCGCCACCCAAAAACTAATTATAGTCCATCAACTCATATGTGAGTCTAATCACCCCTTTTGCCCTCCCCTCTCCCCCCTTCCCCTATGGTAACCACCAATCCAATCTCTGTTGCTATGTGTTTGTTTGTCATTGTTTTTATCTTCTACTTATGAGTGAGATCATAGGGTATTTGACGTTCTCCCTCTGACTTACTTCACTTAGCATAGTACCCTCAAGGTCTATCCATGTTTTCACAAATGGCAGGATATCATCATTTCTTATGGCTGAGTAGTATTCCATTGTGTATAAATACCTCATCTTCTTTATCCATTTGTTCCGTGATGGGCACCTAGGTTGCTTCCAAGTCTTGGCTATTGTGAATAATGCTGCAATGAACATAGGGGTACACATATCTTTATGCATTTGTGTTTTCAAGATCTTTGAGTAAATGCGCAGCAGTGGGATAGCTGGATCATATGGTAGATCTTGTTAATTTTCTGAGGATACTCCATACTGCTTTCCATAGTGGCAGAACAAGTTGCACTCCCACCAGCAGTATACAAGGGCTCCCTTCTCTCCACATCCTCTCCAACACTTGTTGTTTCCTGTCTTGTTAATTATAGCCGTTCTGACCAGAGTGAGGTGATATCTCATTGTAGTTTTGATTTGCATTTCCCTGATAGCTAATGATGTTGAGCATCTTTTCATATGCCTGTTGGCCATCTGTATATCTTCTTTGGAGAAATCTCTCTTCAGATCTTTTGCCTATCTTTTTATTGGATTGTTGTTTTTTTTGTTGTTGAGATGTATGAGCTCTTTCTGAATTTTGAATATTAACCCCTTATCTGATATATGGTTTGCAAATATCTTCTCCCAATTGTTAGGTTGTCTTTTCGTTTTGTTGATGGTTTCCTTTGCTGTGCAGAAGCTTTTTAGTTTGATGTAGTCCCATTTGTTCATTTTTTCTTTTGTTTCCCTTGCCTGGCCAGACATGGGACTTGAAAATATGCTTCTCAGACTGATGTCAAAGAGCATACTGCCTATGTTTTCTTTTAGGAGTTTCATGGTTTTGGGCCTTACATTCAAGTCTTTAATCCATTTTGAGTTGATTTTTGTGCATGGTGTAAGGGAATGGTCTACTTTTACAATAAATAAACACCATTTATTGAGGAGACTCTCCTTTCTCCATCGTATGCTCTTGGCTCCCTTGTCAAATATTAGCTGTCCATAAATGTGTGGGTTTATTTCTGGGCTCTCGATTCTGTTCCATTGATTTGTGTGTCTGTTTTTGTGCCACTACCATGCTGTTTTGGTTACTATAGCTTTGTAGTATATTTTGAAATCAGGGAGTGTGAT